CCACACTGCAGGAGCGCGTTCTCCACGTCTCGAGCGGTCCTCTTCCCTTGGACCAGGAGGCTCGCGGGTTTGGAGGTGGGATCCACGGCCTCGGCAAATCCTTGGTCGGGAGCGGGAAGTGGGGGTCAGGCTGGGGGTGACGGAGCTGATGCTGTTGTTTCTTTTCCATAATCTCATGGGAAATGTGCGGATCCCGGGATAATTTCCTTAAGGAAATTTAATGCACCCGTCCCTGGGGAGTTTGGGGAGTAGTTGGGAGCCGCTGGTCCCTCTGGGCACCCTTCCTGGTCTCCAGACGCTGAGAAGAAGCTACCGCTGGAGGCTGCCAACCTCAGCGGCCTATTTTTAGCAGCTGATGTTGGTGAGACAGGGAGGAGGCTGCAGCCCATTCAGGGCCTTGAACACCCTGGGGTGAGCCCAGCGCCCTCACACAGCCAGCCCAGAGTGGCACCTGTCCCCTCCTATTGTCCAGCAAGAGCTGTTTCCAGGAAGGAAGGGTGGAGCTGCCGGTGGAGCTGCTGCACGCATCTGGAGCTCAGATGGGACCCCAAACCCCCTCTAGCCACCATGCCCAGGCCTGCATCTCTCACCCAGGGCACCCTGCCTGAGGCATCCCTCCCCACTGCATCCTCCACCACAGTAGACCCAAGGCATCCCCTACCCAGAGCACTCCCTTGCCTCTCCTTAGGATCTCCCCATCCCAGCTCAGTAGCACCCCTCAGGGAGAGAGCCTCCTCTGGTCACACCCTAGGAATGGCTTCCATTAGCCTTGCTGGGGCATGAAAGCGTGGGGCTGTGGTCAACAGCCCCTGGAGTCCCATTCCGCACAGGAAGATGGTTTACACATATCAGAAAAAAGCCTCAGAGAAACATACAGTGGCTGTCCTGAAATCTCACTTCCCAGTCAAGATTTAATGTGCCTGGGTCCATATTCTCTGCTTAAATGAGCAACAGCCTGCAGGGACTCTGCTGCGAGCTGTAGTGTCCAAATGCACTGCTTTCTTGGGGAGAAAGTAGAAAAAATCTTTTCACTTTTCATGAGGTGCTTTAGGCAGCTCATCAGGCCTTTCCTCCCCTGCCAGTCTCCTGTGACCCAGCTGCCCTGGACACCTGGCCAGGAAGGCCTCCAGGGCTTCCTCCTGGAGCCTGGTGGTCCAGCAGTTCCAGCTCCCTCCTTTGCCACATCACACGTCTGTCTGCAAGTGGGGTGGGTCTTGCTCGTGGGCACAGTTGCATCACATCCACCCACATCCCTTGGACACGGGTGCAGATTGTCATTCTGCTGTGCTCACTGATCTCAGCCACAGTGTCTGCATGGCATGACACACTGCTCTGTGAACATGCCACCACTCTTAACTCTGGTTGTTCCCGTCTGACCATTGGGCCTTCCCACTGGGATGATTTGGAGCACGTGCCTCTGTCTGGTACATCTGGAGTTGGGGTTGGTGGGCCATAGGTAAGGGGCATCTTCAGATTTAGTGGACAGGAAGCTGGACGTCTGCCTTTATAATTCAGCTACATTAGAAGGCATGAGCTACCGTTTAATATTGGGCTTTTCCGTCTATTTTTGTTGAATTGTCTGCCCTTATTCTACCCATCCATGAAGTGTTCAATATATTCTAGGCAGGCCAGCATTTGTCATGTATAACAAGTGTCTCCTAGCCTGGAATTTGCCTCTTTAGCCTCTTAATGCTATGTTTTGGTAGGCACAAGTTCTTGATTTTAGGTAGAGTGTGTTTTGCATCCTGGGCGTGGACTCCATTGCACCAAAGTGCAGTTGATAAAGTCCGCTCAAGGGTCCCGTGCTCTGCATCTTTCCTCACCTCTCTGTGTCCCTTTCCTCTGCTCCATACTCTGAGCCTGGACATGGAATGTAATAGAAGGCAGGTGTCTTGTGGTTGTCCTCTGCTGGAAGCCCAGCCTGCTTGGGCGGACCCCAGGGCCCCTGGAGAATACCTGCTTTTGCTCTGTTGGTCTCTGCTGCCTGTGTCTGCTCCCCATGGGCTTGGCCTCTTCTGTACACCTAGAGAGGCTGCCTTCTGTCTTGGTCACCCGGCTGCATCGGAGTCTTAAGGCCAGTGACAAAGGAATACACTGAATGGCTCAACACAACAGAAACCCTTTTTTCTGGAGCCAGAAGGCCAGCTCTTAGAGTGGGCAAGACCCCCTCCTGGTGGGCCTGCTGTCCCTAGCTTGTGGCCTGCACTATTCTGGCTTCTTGTGTTACTAGAACAGAAACCCTGAGGCAGGTGATGTAAAAGCAGTGACAAAAGAACAGAAATGCCTTTCTCACGGGCTGGAGGCTGGAAGTCCGGAGCAGGGTGTTGCTGTCTGCTGTGAGGCACCTCTCTTCCAGCTCTGTCATGCTGCTGCATCCCTGGGGATGAACATCTTTCCATGGCTGGAGGTGGGATGTGCTCAGTGGGGCCCTATGTGTTGGGTGGGGAACAGCAGCCTTTGTGGGGGTCTGGCCCCCAAAGTAAATAGATGTCCCAGTGGGGCTGTGAAGCCAAGGGGGCTGTGTCACCTCCCAGAGGACTTAGAAGCTCGGCTGCAGCACACCCACACCCACGCCAGGGACACTGTTGGCCTGGGCAGGCCAGGCACATGGCAGTTCCAGCCCAGGGAGCAGTGCTGATAGACCACTCAGTGCCCCCACTGCCATTGCCACGCTGTCTGGCTCCCAGATCCAGGGGTGGGAAGTGTGGACCTGTGACCAGCAGTGCTCCCTGTGCCTTGCCCTCCCCCTGCCTAGGCGTAGGAACAAGTGTGGAGTTTGGTTTCGTTCCTGGGTCACCCTGAAGGGCAGCAGCCCAGCCTTGTGGACCTGTCTGGACCAGTAGCTAGAGCCAACTTCCAGGCTGGGCCGCCCAGTTACGCATGTAGGCTATTGGAGCTGGGTGTGGGCTTCTGGGACTCGCTCTGTGCCCGAGGAATACACAGGCAGAAAATACTGGCTTTGTGCCATCCTGGGGAGCTCTCCCTGCCTGGGACGAGTGGCCCTCATGTCAAGTGTCCAGGGAGGAGTGGGCAAGTGGCCGTATCATGATGAAAATCAACAATGGCTAAAGGGCTGTGCTGTGCTCGAGTGGGCTGAGCTAGAGAGCCCCTTGGTCAGGGCAGTGCTGCCGCGTGTCGGGGCTCTGAGCTGACTCTGTCCCTGTCAGAGCCCGGACTCAGGGCCTCCCTGTTCATCCCTGGGTCTCTGATCTCGGGGGAGCAGATGCGAGGGGAGGGCTCTGGGGACACTGTCTGATTCTTCTTCCTTGGTGAGTGTTTCTCTCCCAGGGTGCTGTGGTCTCCCCAGCTGGCAAGGGCCTTAGAACTAAGCAGCTTGGCCAGTGATCACAGGAGGCTTCTTGTAGGCTAAGCATCGCTCACAGGTCTGTGACACTGTGCTTGGATTTGTTTGGGGTTTGTTTTTTCAGTGCCCCCACCCCTCCCCTATCCATCAGCTTCCTGGGACCAAACTGACTTAGAACCAAGCACTGGAGAAAAGGCCATTCCTAGGCTGCCAACCAGGGTTGTATGTGTTGGGAGTTCAGGAGAGGTGCCCCCTCCTTCTTCCTCAACCAGTGTCCCGCAGCTCTAGCCAGGGGCGACTTACTGCCCTTTGGAGCAGTGTCAACCCCCTCTGGGCTTCCCAGCCTCCAGCAGGTAGCACAGCCCTGAACCAAGTGCCTCTGACGCAGGTGTGATGTTAGTGGTGCCCAGGTGCCCAGGGCCAGGGAGCCAGGGGGCCAGGGACTTGAAGAGGCTGGGGTCACTAGCCCTGTTGAGGGCTCCTCACTGTCACAGAAGCCTGCTGAGGAGCCCTGAGATGGGCAGGAGGATTGGCCAGTGGCCAGCAGAAGTGGCCCAGAGCACTTATCCAGAAGGGCATAGCCATCAGAAGCAGGTAACAATGACAAGGACCCCTCCATCTGATCTCATATGTGGTCAATGAAGCCACAGTGACATCCTGGTGCATCTGGCCACAGTGCAGGGCCCAGCAGTGTCTAGCACCAAGGAGGGACAGCCCTGCCCTGGCACTCCAGGTCAAAAATTGCGCCTCCCCCTCTTCAGTCAGGATTGTCCCAGGCATGGTGAGACAGGAAGGCCTCTGGGCACCCACCATCAGAAGATGTAGGGGTTGGGATCCCCATGTGCCTGCCGATGTCCCCAACTTGGTTGTTTCTCAAGGGATAGTTTGCATTAAGGTTCCTGGTGGCAGCTGGTACAGTCACAGAGCACCCTGTCTGCCAGGGCCTGGGTGTAGCCTGCCTGGGAGAGTGGACCGCAGGTTGGGGTTGAGAAGGTTGGGGTTAGCTGGCACCTTGGGGTGGAGGGGTCTGACTAGCGATGCCTGTCTAGCGTGGGCTCCTCCAGTGTGGGCCGCAAGGTTGGCAGGGCTTTGGGAGAGTCCTGGGCTGATCTGGTCCGTGCTGCCCAGGGGGCCTTAGACACAGGGACAGAGGTTCCTGGGGAGGGTGAGTGGAGCCCTCTGGCCCTGCAGCCCTGGGCAGGGGTGGCGGCCTGTGGTGTGGCAGGGTCCCCCCCTCCGTGTGGCCGCTGCTGCCCACCCCGACTGCGTAGTGTTCCAGCTCAGCCCAGGTGGGCAGAGAGCTGGTCCTGATGGTGAGAGGAGAGTGAGAATCCAGGCAGGCATCTACGAGGGGGGCGGGGAGGGTGTCAGGAAAGGACGGAGGCACAGCATGGCAGGGAAAGCAGGACTTTAGCCACCTCTCTGCTCAGGGGACATGGCATCCTGCCCCAGAAAGCCACCTGATTACACGTGCCAGGTCCTGGTCAGGGACACCTGGTCTTTCTTACACAGTCCAATCCCAGGCATGGCAGAGCCAGTCCCAGTTGGGGCACTTGGTCCCAGGCAGGGGTCACCTGATTCCAGTCACCTGGTCTTAGTCACAGGCCTTGTCGCTCCACAGATACCTGCCCTGCTCACAGGCACCTGGCCCTGCTGCAGACAGGGACAGCTCCCTGATGCCTCAGCTTCCAATCCTCTTGGAGTGGCATGCACTGAGGCCATTGGCAGCTGACGCCCTGGCCTGGAGAATCTCTTCAGATTTTGCTTCATAAATTTTTTCTGTAAGTTTTGCTTGAAAATTGGGGCCTGTTTGGAGCACAAGGGCCTTGGGACACTGGAGTATGAGAGAGCCTGCTTGGAAAGGGGCCCTTGGAGCCTCCTCTCCTGTGAGCGGCTGTAATTCCACCTGCCATGGCCTCCTCTGCCCTCCTCTGCAGATGCCAATCTGGTAACCCAGGCTGTCCCACACCCAGTGGATCAGTTACCTGTGTCTTCCTCTTTACCAAAGGGGAGGTGGCCGTGCTGAGCCTCTGAGCCCTGGCCTGGGCTGACACTGGTGTTGTCCTCTCTGTATCACCTGCTCTCCTTTTCTGCCATGCAGGTGGTGTGGGGGGCTGGGCAGGAAGGGGTCCACCAGCAGGTGGGTTGGTGGAAGCAGGTTGGGGGATACATTGTGGGCACAAGGCTCAGCACATCCTAGCTGCCTGGGGTTCCCTGAAGTCATAGGCTAAAAGTAGGGGGCTTTGGGTGCACTGCTAGGGGCTCAGAGCCCAGCTGGGGGCAGGGTGCACTCTTGAGAAGCAGGCCTGGTGGGGGCAGTGCAGCCTGCTGGGGAGAGCGAGCCACAGGGTGCGGTTGGGAAGGGAGGGTTGCAGGGCTGTCTAGCTCCTGCGTCCTTTTCCATGCTAAGTTCAGTTCATGCCCTTTGACCTGCCTGGTGTCATTGTCACCCTGTCTCTTGCTCAGTCCTCAGGTGTCAGCGTGCAGTGGAGATGGGACTGGTCATCTTTGTGGATGTTAGGTGCCTGCCCCCACAGTGCTCAGGCTTTCTGTTCTCTGCCCTGGCCTGGTCCCTGTTACAGGCTGGCCTTACTTGTATCCACTGATTTAGGAAGGCTCAGGAGTGGGGACCTGACCCCCGGGACCCTGCCTGGTAGTGGAGCCGCCTCTGGGTGGTTCTGGCTCTTCTGCAGACTTGGCACCTTCATGGTTTCAGCAAGAACCATGTCCCTTGATAATGGAGGTCATGCCTTGACCGCTCTGGTGCTGGGTGCAAAGGTGACTCTCAGAATTGGAAGGCAGGCATGGCACCCCCTCCACAGGCCTCGGTGTGCATCCTTGTCAGGAGCTCCTTCCTCGGGCAGGTGCTGACCACATGCCTAACCTGCCTGGTACCTATGGTGGGGACGTCTGTGTGGCCCTGAGTTCCTGAGCCCTGGGGGGACACAGCCCCCTCAGTCATCTCAGCCCCAGAGGCAGTCACCTGTGTTGCAAGCAGCCTGTGCAGTCCAGAGCACTAGGACTCTCCCTGAGCCCTGACACACAGGTCACCTCCCCAGGCCTGGGGGAACCACACCTGCCAGGTTTTGGGCACCCTCCTCCATGTCCCCAGGGTTACCTCACCCTCCCTGGCCACGGCTCAGCACTGAGAGTGGTAGCTGGATGGACCCTGTTGCAGAGGTTGGTGGTATTTCACAGACCCCAGTGGTCCCCAGAGCAGCAGCGCAGTGTCGCCCAGGGGAGGCGCCAGACTGTGGCCAGTGGGAACAAGGTCTCAGCTGGAGCCCCTGGCTGGTTCAGGACCCAGTAGCAGACTGACACTATCTCCCAAGCACTTGGATCTGAGAGGTCCTGGACTCCACTGTCCCTGACTGGCCCCCTCCTGGCATTTGCTGCCACCCCTGTGTGCATTTCCCCTCTTGTGAGTATCCAGTGAGAGACAGGGCCTGTGAGAAACTGAGTGACTTTCTCCTTTCCTCTCAGCACCATGGCCGACGGCAAGGCCAAGCCTGCCAAAGCCGCCAACCGGACCCCCCCAAAGTCACCAGGGGACCCCGCAAAGGACAGGGCAGCCAAGAGGCTGTCGCAGGAGTCTGAGGGTGCCAGTGAGGGGGCAGCCGCGGCCTCGGAGCTCAGCGCCCTGGAAGAGGCCTTCCGGCGCTTCGCGGTACACGGAGACACGCGTGCCACGGGCCGGGAGATGCACGGCAAGAACTGGTCGAAGCTGTGCCGGGATTGCCATGTGATTGACGGGAAGAGCGTGACTGTCACTGACGTGGATATTGTCTTCAGCAAGATCAAGTAAGTGGCGTGCCCTCGGTGGCCGCAGAGGGAGCCCCGCATGCACTTCAGCTCCGTCTTTGGGCCAACCCCAGGACCCCTGTGCCTGGGCTGTGTGCCGAGGGGCGGGTGTGCTCAGCCCTGGGTGTGGCACTGGGTCTGGCCATGGGGCCACTGCCGAGCCCACTTCCAGGTTGGGGATGGCTTTTCCAGGGCGCCCCACCGTGTGACAGAGTTGGTGTGGGGGCCCTAGCCCTGTCCCTGTCGCCTCTCACCCTCTTCAGCCCTTTCACACCTCTCCCAGCTTTGGACTTAAAACAGCAGAGCAAAGAGCAAGCAGCCCCAGGGTACTGCAGCCTCTGCCCTCTGGCCTTGCGCTGTGCTTCCTCTGTGTGAATGCAGGTGTCTCCCTGGGGGCGTGGGCATGTATGTGTGTGTGTGCGCGTGCGCGCATGCGTGTGCATGCTCACGCGCGCGCACACACGCACATCTGTCCCTGGGTTGTGGGTGTTTGCGTGTGTGTCCCTGGGTCATGAATACATTTTGCATATGTGTCATGTGCATACATGTGTCCCTGCATCGTGGGCTCATGTGTACATGCCCCCCACACACACTGGCAAGCATATTGAGGTGCTCTCACCCTTTTCACATTTCCTTGGGCTTCTCTGAGCACCAGGACATCCTCTGCCTGTCACAGGCATCCTCTGAGAGAAGGAATTATTCCTCTAGGCCATTGCCAAAGCCAACCGGACACCCCCAAGGTATCAGGATCCCCTCTAGGGCTGTCCACGTCCACTGTGTGGAAATGGCCCCACTGCAGCCTGGTTCTGCCAGTGCCTGCTGCTGATGTGCCCCTGGGACTTCTGTCTTCCCTTCCAGTGGCTATGACCTTCTGAGACTGGGTTGTCAGTCATACCCTGTGTCCTGCCAGGCCACACTCTCGATAGTTACCAGTGCTAGATGTCACCTCTTCTTCCACCTATGATGCGTGACTCAGTCTTTATGGCTTCTTCTCCACACTTTGCTGGTGGGAAGTTAGGTCTCCGGGGTGTGCTGAGGAGACCGTGTAGGTCATGGGCTGCTAGGCAGGTGGGGGTGGCAGGGCTGGGTGAGGATGGCTTCAGGCTGGTTGCTGGATGGGCTGAGAACTGCCCTGAGAGGGCCAGTGGTGGCACTCTCGGGGCTGTGTGGCACATCTGAGCCAGAACGTCCCCTTGGATGACCTGGAAGGCTGCCTCCGTGGGAGACCCGTGGGCAGATCAGCACAGGTGTGTGCAGGCCTTTGCTCTGTTTCCCGCCATCGCTGACTTCTTGTGCCATCTGCTGTGGTTCAGTTGCCTGGGGATAGAATGTGGCTCAGGACTCAGGGTGTGCGGCTCTTTCCCCTTCTGCCCTAGCCAGCAACTCCTGCCCCCGGGGCCCACGAGCCTCTGCTATCACCAGCCCTGCTGGGGAGGAGTTGCCTGGTGAGCCCATGCCCTCTGGGACATGGCCCTGGGCTCCTTCTAGCAAAGTGGTGGCAAGCCCGTGGCACGAGAGCTTGCTGTTAGAGCTCCTCCCTCCTTGTTTTACCCAGAGCTATGCTGAGCAGAGCTGGGACAGGTCTTGGGCAGCCAGGGCTCTCACATCGTCCACCATGTAGCCCCACTGTGGAGTGACAGGGCTTGGTGCTTGCTGCCTTGACACTCCTTGCTGACTGACACACAGCTTTGGGGATAGGTGTGCCTGTGAGCCTGTACCAAGGGGAGGACTTGCGGGCCTCGTGTCCTCAGGCTTGTCATGGTGTGGGCCTGGGGAACAGATCAGCCCTGCTGTCCATGCAGTCCCTCGCTGTAAAATGTACAGCCTCCAGGAGCTTCTGGTCTTGTGTGTGGGCATGAGTGGACATCCCAACAGGGACATGCAGGTCCTGTGACTGGGCCTTTCTGGAGGGTTGGCCAGCTGTGGGGGAGGGAATTGCAGCCTGGGCTTGAATGATAGGGACCAGAGCTCCTGCTCTTGTGGCGCTGGTGGCTTCCCAGCAGCTGGCCATGGTGTGTAAGTGGTAAGGCCACATGCTCCACTCCCTGGCCATATCCTCACACTAACCAGTGTCCACGCCCAGGAGCAGAGAGACCCAAGGCTCTGCCCTTGGGAAAGCTTCCGGCAGAAGTGGCCTGTCCAGGGCCAGTCCCTTGGAGTGCCAATCTCTTTCTGCAGTGCTATACGCCACCTTTGCACATGTGCACATGGTGTAGGGCTTTGTTCCTGCTCCCTCCTCGTAGGCGGCAGCCAACATGGTCATAGTTCTTTTGGCGGATGTGTGTTCTTCCTGCCCTGGGGTGCTGGCCCTCCACGAGTCAGTCCCATTCCAAGGACCTTGGCTCATAGACACCTGGGGGCTGAGATGTGGCCCACTGTCCACTGTGGAGCCTGGCTTAGGAGGTGGCAGTTGCAGCCTAGCCAGAGTACAGAGGGTTAAAGTCGATGCAGGCAGGGCAGCCAGGCTGTGCCTTGCTGGGGCGGATGCCCAGTGGGCTGTGGACACAGGGGGATGTGTCCAGCTAAGCAGCCTCTGTTAGGTGTAGACAGGGTGGCCAAGATAAGGAGTCTGTCTGGGGGTCCCTGAGGACCCCAGCTCTCCCCAGAAAGCCATTCTCCTACACTCTTGTCCTGCCCTCCCTAAACCTGGATTACTGCATTCCTGTGACCCTCCTCCCCACAGGAAGCCCAAACTCTGATCGAGGGGAGGGTCCTCTGACCTGGGTCCTCGTGACTCATTCCCCCCAATGGATCCCTATTCTGGGGAGGGTCTTCTGACCCAAAGGTATGCAAGAGCACAAGACCCAAATGCATATCCTTGTTCCCAGGGAGAAGGGCACATTGTCCCTGCATAGGATGTAGAGGGTTATGACCCCAGAAAGATCATGGGGCCCTGGGAAATGGTGACCCTTCCAGGGCCTTGGGGTCCTGCAGGAAGGGCTGGAAGTTCAGAACTGCAGGCCACCAGGAATTTCCTTTCGGTTTCTGGGAAAATGGGGCTGTGATGGCCACCGGCTTTGCATTTTGAGGAGTGGGTGTCCACAGCTAGCTCCCAGAGGACTGCAGAGGCACCAGAGGCCTTGCTTTCTTGGGGGAGTGGGGGGCTGTGAGGAAGTCACCTACATACTGCCAGGAAGTCGCCGATGCTGACAGGACTCGGGAGAAAACGTCCAACTATTTCTGTTTTCGGGGCAGGTTGCCATGGCTCTGCAGGCGTGGCGCCAGCTGGGGTATCTGCAAGCCTTTGTTTAGGTCCTTGTTGCCATGGCAGTGCTTGTTTGTTTTGATGTTACTATGTGTTAAATTTTAAACAAATTTCTTGCGGCTCTATACCAAGTTTTATGGAAGACTACTGTTAACCTAGACTGCCCTTTCTGGGTGTGCGGTAGCCCTGATGTGGGGCCATGGAGACTGGGGCCACGGACAGCATGTCGTGTGTGCATGTGTCGGACCTGCGTGCACCGGAGTGTCCATATAGACCGTGTGTGCGTGTGCATCTGTATGGGGTTGCAGGGAGGGGACACACAGCGGCCTGGGGTGGGGGCTGGGTCATGCATGCCTCCTGCCCTGCCCTGAAGCCACCCAGTGGGGAGGCCGTATGGGGTGGTGGTGGTGGTCTCTGGGCCCAGGTGTGTCTGCTAGGCCTCGAGCATCCTCTGTGGTGACTCCACCGGTTTCCAGCCAACACCCTGCACCTGGTGGGGCCACTGAGGGCGGGCGGCCTGCCAAATGACCACAGGGTAGAAGGAAGCCATGCTGGCAGCCACGGGCAGAGAGTGGGGCTGAGTGCCGACCCAGGCCTGGGCATCTGGCAGGAGCCGAAGGGAACTGATAGCTGGGGAACTCAGTATGGAGGCTGCCCCGGCTGATGCAGCCTTCCACTCCTGGAGCAGAGCAGTACTGGAGGCCTGGAGGGGTCCCAGCCACCATGTGTTGGTTGCTGTGGGAAGGGCAGGTGCTGCATGTGAGGTCATTTGTCAGGAGGTCCCTGAAAAGCCAGGTGACAGTGACTATGGCCAGGTCCTCGGAAGTAGTATCTACCTAGCCTTGCCCCACTGTAACACATGGGCCCTCCAGTGAGGGCATCAGAGCCCAGCACAACCCTCGAGGAGAGCACTGTGGCCTCCAGCATCACCCATGAAAGCGGCCTCCAGCTGTCCTGCAAGGGACCTGCAGTGCTGTGGTCCTTCTGCTGTGAGCATGCTGTTCTGCTTCTGTTGCCCTCTGGTGGCTGCAAGTAGAAGTGCAGGGAAGCCAAGGCTTTGGCATGATGGAGACTCCAGGGTTCTGGCCTCTACTGGACACCAGTCAGGCCATGTGGAACATCTCTGGCTGAGGTTTAGTGGGCTGGAGGCCTGTATCCTTGTGCTCAAGGCCTTCCCAGTTCTTGTGAGCCTGCAGTGACCAGGTAGGAACTGGCAGTTCTAGTGACAGATGTCCATCCCCTGCCCTTCGGCCTCTACCTGTCTGCATGCACTCAGTCAAAAGGGTGCTGTCTGCATGACCTCAGGAGTGTGTCCTTGGCTCACCCCTGCCCAGGCTGGTGTGCGGGTGGACAGAGGCAGCTGACCCTCAGGCCCCCTAGGGGAGTTGTGGATCCCGATCTGGGCTCCTGTAAAAACAAAGGCACAAGGAAAATGAGGCCTTAGGAAGAGTGCTAAGGATGGGTCTGCGCTCCAGGCCCAGCGAAGCAATGCTGTGGTCCCAGGTGTCCCTCCATGCAGGCTGGTGATAGCTGGAAGCCAGACCTTTGGAACTCGAGTGGCCACAGAGTCCCTGAATAGCACCTGGGGCAAAGCAGGCCATCGCTGTCACTGCACGGCTTGTTAGCCCTGTGGACATCCCCGTCAGCAGTACCCAGGATCCCCCACTATTTCCTGAGATGAGGAGTGTCCAGGCCATGTACTTGCTGTGCATTCTAGCTGGTCTGGTTATTGGTTGGGAGCGGGGAGGCGACAGGGCCCCGGAGCTGCACCCCCTGTATAAGATCCCCTGGCTGCAAATAAAGTCCCCTGGGCAGGAGGCAGAGGTGGTGACTCTGAGGGGTGGCTGCCCTACCGGCCCTCCTGAAACACAGTAAGAATTCAAAGCCACATGTCAGGGCTGATAGCCCTGCATGTGAGGTCATTTGTCAGGAGGTCCCTGAAAAGCCAGGTGACAGGGACTAGGGCCAGGTCCTTGGAAGTAGTATCCACCCAGCCTTGCCCCACTGTAACACCTGGGCCCTCCAGTGAGGGCGTCAGAGCCCAGCACAACCCTCGAGGAGAGCACTGTGGCCTCCAGGATCACCCATGAAAGCGGCCTCAGCTCAGTTCTCCAAGGGACCTGCTCAGGGGCATGGTACCCCAGCCCCCGAGAAGGGCTTATGACAAGGTGTATCCCCACTGTCCTGGGGTTTGTGTTTGGTGCCATCCTGTTCTCTGCCCCTCAGGACCCCAGTTTTCCCCTCTAGAGGCCATTTGGGGGCCACTTCTGCAGGTCCACATCTTTCTCAATCCTCAATCTTCATCCTCAATCCTCAACCTCAGTCCTCCAGTTTGTAGATGCTGGGTCCCTTTGCAAGATACCCATGGGGGGAGGCTTGACGGGGGAGCAGTGGTGGGTGACCCCAGGCCACACCTCTGTCCTCAGGGTCTGTGCTCTGAAGCCGCCCTCCAGGACCCATGTCCCCAACAGCCACCACACTGGCTCAAGGATGCAGAGTGTGTAGAGCAAGCCCAGACTGAGGGAGCACCCTGCATGAGCAAGGCCACACCCAAGTGAGCCCTGGGGACATCTCTGGTCTTCAGGGCACTGTAGAAAGGCTTGGTGTCAGGAGAGCCTACAGCAGGTCACATGCCTCCAAGAAAAGAGGCATTGTCATTCTAGAACTTGCTGGGGACTGCTTTGGACAGGAGCTCCTGTCCCCTGCAGGGAGCTCTCCAGGAGCCAGGCCAACAGCAGGGCTCCCTCTCCCCAGCAGCACACACTTGTGGGACACAGGCTGCCTAGGGACTGAATGCCTTGTCTGAATGTGACCTCTGATGGGGAAGCCCCTGCCAGGGCGCCATCTCCCCTGGTGGTGCCTGGTACAGAGGCTGCCCAGAGCACTGTGTGTCCTGGGGGAGGGTCACCAGTCTGGCTGCTGGGCCTGGCATGCATGTCAGCCTGGGCAGGGCCAAGTGTAGGAGACAAGAGGCCTTTGATGGCCCAGGACAGAGCATCCCTGGGGGCCTTAGGTCAACACCCCACCCCAGGGTCCAGAGAGGAAGAAAAACTGTCTCTTCCAGGCACCGCTGGGCTGTGGGGCCAGCTGCTCCAATAGAAGGCCATCCAGCGGTCACAGGGAGCAATTGGTGTGTGTCAGAGACCAGAGCCGAGGAGCTGGACCCACCTGGACATCGCATGGCCACTGAGCCCCTCTGTCCTATCCCAGACAGTTCTAGCATGTTCTAGGAGCACAGGCTGTATGGGGAGACCCAGAACCCCATGGCCACCTGCCCCAAGTGTGAGGGCAGTCCTCCTAGGGCCTTTGGATTTCCACAGGGGCCTTCCCCTCCATCCCAGCTTTCTTCCTGGCCTGTCCATGGGGATCTGGTCAGAATGCCTCAGGTCTTCAGGACATGTGTGAATCAGCTCCTGGTGAACATGCCAGCTACTAGGGACTGCATGGTGGCATCTTCATACCTGGTCCCCAGCCTGGGCTCTTGGGCCTACTGTGTCATTCACTGGTTTGTCCTTGGGTTGTTGACTGGTCTCATGGAACCGAGCATTTATCCATAGTTGAAGGACATGTAGGTTGTTTGCAGGCTTGACGTGAGTAAAATCAGGACAGCATCCTCATGTGGGTTTATGTGAGCGCTTCAACCTTCATTTGTCTTGAGAAAGAACCCAGGGGTGGGGCTACAGGGCCCTCTGGAGCGCCCTGGGATGGAGCACGTGGCTCTGCATCCTCAGCTTGAGTACGGCCAGCGCCTCGATGGTTCTGAGCACCCTGTACCAGACGGTGTGCTGCGTCTTCACGTGCACCGCTGCCTCCTCCGAGTCTTCTCTGGAGAGGTCGATGTCTGAGAACTGCCCGTTGTTGACCATGAGGGTTATTTATTTAACTGTTGAGTATTAAAGAGTTCTTTGTGTATTTCAGATACAAGTTTTTTTTTTTTTTAATCAAGTTTGTTGCAAATACTTTTTCCCAATCTGTGGCTTGCCTTTTCTTCCTCTTAAAACTGTTTGAACAGCATCATTTGAAAATTTTGATAAAGTTCAATTCATCCCCCCCCCCTTTTTTTTTTACATGGAGGGGTTTTGATGTGATTTCTAAAGAAACGGCCTAACTCAAGGGCACGAAGGTGTTTTCCTAGGTGTCCTTCCACAAGTTGGTAAAGGCTCCACTGCCAGGGTTGGGACCGGTGCAGGGTGCATTCTGCAAACATAGCAGAGTGTGGAGAGTGTGGGGTGCGTGTGTGTGTGCGGGGACCCCACTGTCCTGCTGGTTACTGCGACAGCCCTTTCTCCCTGGCTGGCCTCTGCACCTCTGAAGATCAGCCGGCTGCAGTGTGGAGCCATCCCTGGACACTAGGCCTCGCCAGCACAGTCGTTCCCTGGGGCTTTGCAGCACGTATGGGGATCATCCCATCGCATCAGTCTTCAAGTCACTCTGGCTGTGCTAGGTCCTCCGGGGGCTGAGCACCTGCTTGGGCAAGTGCAGGGACCAGGGTTCGATCCCCGGTCCCTCATGCTATATTAGCCCCGCTGGCGAATGAGGATCAGCTGCACAGTGAGACTCTGTACCAAATACATAAATGAAAAGAAAAAAAAAAAAAGTAAAATTACAAGATAAAGAACAGAGCCGGGGAGATAGCTCAGTAGAATAAGCGCTTGCCTGGCAAGCACAAGGGCCTGAGTTCAATCTCTGGTTCCACCAAAACAAACAAACAAACAAACAAGATGAACGACAACTTCAGATTTTTTTTTAATTGCCCATGACCTCCACAGGGAGAGTCAATGTGACCCTGGGATGTGGCAGATGGGGTGCAGTAGCCAGGTGCTCAAGGGGCTGCAGCCCTGCGCAGGCTGCTGCAGCCAGAAGTGACCTGGTCTGGGGAGGGCCTGGGTGCAGGTGGGGGGCAGGGGAGGCAGCCCTCTCAATTCTGTGCTCACATCCATCAGCAGCCCCAGCACACAGCCGGGCTCCCTGGCTCCCTGGCCAGCTGTAATCCTGGGCAAGATGGACCTCTCTCCTGAGGTTTCCCTCTGTGTGCAAGTGGAGGGCAGTCACACCCACCCCAGAATAGGACTGTCCTGGTGGCTGGTGGCCTACAAAGTCATGCTTCCTCAAAGCTCTTTCCAGTTTGTAGTTGCTGGCCACCCATGGCCACTGCTTACTGGGGTCACCATGGGGTGGGACACTGGCTGGGCTGTAGGCTGGTTTCCAGGCTCTGCCATTGGCTTACGGGCCTGCTGCCCACAGGGGGAAGTCCTGCCGCACTATCACCTTCGAGCAGTTCCAGGAGGCTCTGGAGGAGCTGGCTACAAAGCGCTTCAAGGATAAGAGCAAAGAGGAGGCTGTGCAAGAGGTGCACCGGCTCATCGAGGGCCGGTCACCAGTCATCTCGGGGGTCACAGTGAGTGTGGGGGCACATGGGGGTGGGACCTGAACGGGGCCCAGCTGTCCTCACTGTTACTACTCTGGGGAGGCCACAAACAGGGTTAGCAGCATGGACCAGAGGTACTAGCTCACATGCAGGGCTGAGCTGGGTCAGGAGAGGCAACCCTCACCTGGGCGTGCAGCCAAGAAGGCTCGCACTCTCGTTCCCTCTCCCTCCTGGGGCAGGTGGCAGCACCCGCACCTACCCTGGCAGTTGGGCTTACAGGAACGCTGCCCCCCCTTCTCTTGCAGAAAGCCGTGTCCTCACCCACCGTGTCGCGGCTCACAGACACAACCAAGTTCACAGGCTCTCACAAGGAGCGCTTTGACCCATCGGGCAAGGGCAAGGGCAAAGCTGGCCGCGTGGACCTGGTGGATGAATCAGGCTATGTGCCTGGCTACAAGCACGCAGGCACCTATGACCAGAAGGTGCAGGGGGCCAAGTAGCCCGCGCCGATGCTGTGGACACTGCAGGTGCCAGCCGGAAACTCACACCCATCACACTTCATTACATTCCTGTGCTCACCAGGCCGAACTCAGAGGAAGCTGAGGCCGGGCTACTGGGGACTGCTACACCCAGGCCTCTTACTGGAGCACCCGACATTTCTCTCAGACCTGACCCTTCCTTATGTGCCTGCAGTTTTCAAACTGTTCCCCAGGATCTCATCACACTGGCCACCTGGCTTGCAGATGAAAGGGGTTGTGGGAGCTGGCCGAGTGTGGGACGAGTGGCAAAGCCTGCTGGAGGCCACGCTGACCCCAGCAGGCAGATGCTGTCCAGGAGCCTCCGGGGCAGCAGGAGCGGATGAACTAACCAACAGCACAGACCGGACTGGGCCCAGGTGGTGCCACAGGGCCCTTTGTGCTTTCTGAGCAGAGGGCCCAGCTAGCTCTCCTGGTGGCCACGGGCAGCAAACCACACAGGCACATGCTGAGGGACAAGGGAAGCCTCCTAGGTTGACCAGTGCAGTGTTCTGTTTGCTATTCTGAGAAGTGACAAGAAATGGTAACTGTATGCCTGTTCTCAGAGCTGTCAGGGAGATTCAGAATTTCTAGCTGTCATGACTTCCTTACTTGTCCCCATGTCCCTTGGGGAAACATGATGTGGAGTCACTTGGTGCAGGGTGGGCAGAACTGCTCTTTTGAGATTGTGTACAGCTGCCTACTGAGCTCATGGGTCTCCCTCAGGCAGTGCCTGGGTCCTCTGGAAGTCAAAGTCCCTGGCATGCCAGGCAGGAAGATCCCTATGCCCACTTATCTGCCATGCACAGTTGGCTCCTCTCATCCACCCTGGAAGGGCACTGGGTGCAGCCTGCCTCAGCACTCCACCTCCATCACAGCCAAGTGTTCCTCTTCCCAAGGAGGCTGTGGGGTGTGCCCCCCATAGAGCAGCCATGGCCTTGCTTATGACCTGTGGGGCTGTGGCCCTGGAAAGGGCCCCCATGGCCTCAGAAATGCCTCACAGGAGTTGGTCTGCCCTCAGCCAGTCTCATTCCACCCAGGGCGACGCCATCTTCAGGATGTGGGCCTGTCTCACAGCACAGGCAGCAGCAGGTGCTTCCTCACTGCCCCAGCATGCGACTGCCTTCCTGCTCCAAGTGTGCTTGGCCCACTGAGCTATGTAGAATCCTGAGGGTGCCAGACTGCTCCAGAAAGGGACTATTTGGAAAGGGAGTGGCCCTGCAGGCAGACAGCTTCCCTTGGAGGCGGCAGTTTATGGTGCCTGACATAGGTGACTGAGGAGTCAAGGTTGTCAAGCAGATGCCAGCTTACTGGGCTGGGGAAAGACAAGCAGGCCACAAAACCCAGGCTTTGCCCTCACTGACCCAGGCTGGGCTCGTGCGTAAAAGCTAGAGGCAAAAATTATGCACGGTAAACATCTGAGTCAACTCTGAAGGTGCAATGTTTAATATCACAACCCCAAAACCCTTGTGTGCAAATGCCAGGGGCCTTCATTAGTGGTCACCGAGAGGACCCCAACCCACTTCACCCCACCCAACACCCCGATGCCTCCTGTCATCTCTGGCACTATGGTCCCCAATAGGCCCCACTGTGGACGATGTCTCTCAGTCTGAGGCTGCTGTTTTCTTTTTTCTTCTGCGCATCCACAGCCCAGTCCCCTCTGACAGCCAAGTCTCATAGACTTGATAGGAATCCAGCAAGACCTCCCTCCACTCCCAGAGCTGGGCTAGTGTGCCTAGGTCAGGGTGGTGTTGGGAGCTCCATGCTGTGCAGCAGGTGTGGATACACCCCTGGAAGCAAGATGGAGAACTTGAGGTGAAGGGACACCAGCCCATCTCCTGTGAATGGGTCTTCATCGGGCAAGACTGATCTTCAAGGGCCAGGGAGATGGATCAGTAGAGTAAGTGCTTCCCTGGCAAGCGCAAGGGCCTGAGTTCAATCCCCCGTTCTGCCAAAAAAAAAAAAAAAGTGATTTTCATGTGAGGACCCAGACCACATCGAGGGCTGCTGCCTGGGAGCACAGAAGAAAGTTGGATCTAAGTAAACAACATGAGTGCCCATCCTGAGGGTGCCCACCAGCCTCATGGGGAGGAGGTCCCATCAGACGTCACCTGGTCCCTGTGGTCAGCACCTCATGATGCCCTCTGCCCAGAGCCACATGGAGAACCTGAGTGGCTGGTCCACAGGTCCTGGGCCCATCTCAGGCCCCCACGGTGAGCTCCTTGACAGGAAAGGACCTTTAACTTCTAGAGAATTTCCAGAATGTGTTCTCGGTTTTATGATGCTCTACCACGGTGGCCCTCCCCATTCTGGCCTAGAGCCCCAGAGTTGCCCTGGGCTCCAGGAAGGAGAGCCCCCAGTCCAGGCGCTCACTGCGTGGCACTTGGGTGCATCGGGTGCATGTGCCAGTCTCCTTTGTGTCCCTTTCCTGTCCCCAACAGGCTCCAAGGTATCCTCAGACACATTTGTGAGGACAGTATCCTTCTCCAGTCCGTTTCAAAGCTTAGCTTTGAAAACATTCCCCCTCCATCACTTAGCAAGGAAGTGTAGTAAAAATTAAATTGCAATGACTTAGTGGTCGCCATACTGCCAGTTTTAACTTGTAGAATTCATCATGGCATCTGTGCGTATCTGCTGAACACAGCGCATCCATCTGCGTGACTCCAACTCTACTACACAAAACAGACACATGCATTTTCCTCAGTCCGTGAATATTACCAACACACAGGCAGGGTGTGTTGCATGTTTATGTCGTACCAATCAGCTTCTACTAACATGGTTCAATAGAGTTAAATGTCTATCTGCAAGAGAAACTGCATAGCATGCAACCCAAGACACAGAAATGTGCTTGGTCAGGTGTCACTCAGGAGCCAGGACAGATCCTTCAGGAGCTGATACCTGACAGTAGGGACAGGCTCTGTTAGGAGGTGACACTGGGAGACAGAGAAAGGTTCTTTCAGATGACACTTCAGAGCAGGGACAGATTCTGTGGGGAAGACACCTGGAAGATAGGGACAGATTCTGGGGGTTGGGGGACAATATAGATGGCGTTCAAGTACCAGGGAAGGAGGAGAATGGAGTGTTAGAGAATAATGATCCTAGTAGAAGATTTATTAATGCTATAGTATAAGCGACTAGTTAGTGGTCAGTAACAGCTTTATGAAAAGCAAAGCTCAAATTACATGTTTAAAATATAGTAAAAATTTATATTTATACTGGAGTATTTTTACACCTCTTAATATCCTTAGTCTTCTGTTCGGGGCAGGTGAGAGCCACACAGATGCAGGTAAGCTTGGAAAGACGTATGGTGGTTCCACTTGTGTTTCCTGCCCCCTGCCCCCGCCTGTCTGCTGCCAAGCCCTGATCCCAGTGGCTGATGGTTGGGGTGGGCACAGGCAGCTCACCCCTCCAACCCTCAGTGGTCCTGGGCCGCTAGAGCTGCCGCTTGTTTTTGTGAAGAGTTTTATTGGCATGTGACCGCAGCCATGGGTTTACAACGTTCATGGCTGCTACGGCACTGCGACTGGAACAGGGAGGGGCTGAGACAGATGCTGTAGCCCAGACACTACCAGTATTTACCATCTTCCCCTTTATAGGGAAAACGTGCCTGCCCGTCTGGCTCACTTCCTCCTACAGCATCATGCGTGAGCTGGCTGCTCCCTGGCCCTGCGGCACACACCACATGGGACACATTGTCATCATCCGTTCAATACGAGGGTGGCAGCTCAGCTGTACTGTGAAGTTATTACAAGGCTACACTGTCTTTCAAACACTGAACCCCAGCAACTTTCCTCCTCTGACTTACTACTGAGCACTCTGAACTCCAGAGGTTTGTGGGTGTGGCCTTGCTCATGGGCATGTGACCGAGTCACGGCAGGCATTTTGAGATGCTTAAGTTAACTCACTCACTCTTTTAGACCTCTTAAAAAGTAGGCCAAGCCAAACAAAGGAAACTTGCACAACTTAAACTTGAAAGGGATAATATACTACTAGTTTGTACTAAGTTTTTTTCAAGAAAGGGAAACAAATTTATATATATATATATATATGCAATATATTTTTACACTATTTTATTAATGTTAGGGAATACTGAGCGCATCACTTCAGCAGTGTGTTGGGTAATGTTAATGTATTGGGTGTTCCGACTCAGAAAGGCACTTCTGCAGGTGTCCAGACCACACTCACCAGGAACATCTGTGGGGTCCAACGGCCCCACTGTCCCTCCCACAGAGCTTGAGGCATTGTGTCACCTGTTGGACTTGCTGTCATGGCCTGGCTTGTGAACCATTAGTGAAACAGCTCGTTTCTGTTTGCATATCGTTCCTTGTGTGTTTGCTGTTAACATTATGTGTCAAATTGGTAAAGTGATGAATAAAGATGTTAAAATGTGGATTTCTCTGTCTTCCTCAAAGAACAAGTACCCACAGTTTGTGCTAGCAGCCATCACCTCGGGCAGTTGGACCTTAACACCCACAAGCACAGCATATAAGCAACACCGGACCCTTACAAGGGGCAGCAGGAGGGAAGGCTGCCCTGTAGCTCAAAGAATGAGAGTCTCAGGTCACCTGCACCCCAGGGAGCCACTGGCTTCGTGGCTTAAGACAGGCGCACTGCTGACCTGACCTCAGGAAGGACTGGTGGACAGCCCGCTGTCAGGTTTGATTCTGGGTCTGGTTCCAGTGTAGCCCTAGAGAGGGGGCAGGATCGTTCACGAACTGTGCCACAAGCACCACAGTAGCCCCCAAACAAGTACACATGAGCAGCAGGTGGGCAAAAAAAAATTAGTGCCAATCTAAATACCAGCCTAAAGGGCTGGGGAGATAGCTCTGTGGTCTAACATTGCAAGGACCCAGGTTCAATTCCCAGTACCACATGCCACGCTGCCCCCCAGACCCTGGGTGCACAGCACCGGCCACCCTAGGCATGGTGGCACACGCCTGTAATCCCAGTGCTAGGGGGGCTGACACAGGAGGATCACAAATCCAAGCTGCATAGCGAGATCCTGTACCAAATAAATAAATAAATGATAAATAAATACTAGCCTAAGGAACTCATTTTGCAAAAGAGGATTTAAAACAAAGGCATTTTTAGGTAATAAAAGGAAAACATGCCACCAGTAGGCATTGAATAAAATTCTAAATGCAGAAAGTGATCACAAATAGTGTTCTGAAATGTGAAGAACAGAGACTGAACAAGCAAATAGCAACTACATGAATACTTTCTGTGAGATTAAAATATATTTCATTAGAATACTTGGAAGCAGTCACATGTGAGCCTGAAGGAGCGAGGGGAGCCAACCACTCACACGGCACCTGCAGGGCCTCAGAGGTGGCAATGCTGCCGAGATGAGCAGGCACTCCGCAGTGAGGGGGGCCCAGCTTCCCAGAGCACAGGTACAAGTGCTTAAGATACGAGATGGCCTAAGTCCAAGAGTCCTGGAGCAGGAGAACACCCACAGAGTGGAGCAGCAGCACAGGGCTGGGGAGATAGCTCAGCGGCACACGCGCCTGCCTGGCAAGTTCAAGGTTCTGAGTTCGATACCCAGTACCAAAACAAACAGGTATTGAATAGCAGGATAAAAGATGGTATATTTACATAAGGATAAACCAACTATCATAGCTGATACAGCAAGAAAAAGATGCAGAACAGAAAAAGTAATAATATATTTTTAATCAGGCAAATATATTAGTAATTTAAGCATGACTTTTAAAAAGAGAAAGAGAAATTAAAATGAAAAAGCAGCGGGGACTAAGGTTATTTTTCTTACTGGGACAGATTAACTTCACAAAGTTTTGGTGACACTGACCAATAAAGTTTAAGCACGGCAGCGGTGAGAGCAGAGCGTGGGTCTGTTCTGCAGAGGCTTGCGGGCAGTGACGCCCATGAGCCACACCAGTGGGGAGGTGCGGGCAGGGAAGCTACCTTCTCGAGGTACAGCAGTCAAAGCTGGACAGGGCCAGAGCACCTGGCTGCGCATGTCCTCAGTTCCAAAGCTGGACAGAGCAGCTGCTGCCCCCTTTCCTGTATTCCCTGAAGGAAAATAAGTGTACTTAAGCAACACAACGTTAAGTGCTAAGCTATTAAATATCACTGAAGAGGTTTGCCAAAACTTTTTGAAAATTACAACTACCTAAACCAAGTCGAAGAAGCTCGTAACTTACAAAACCTCTAGAGGTGGAAAGCCTGCACAGTCCTGTGCCTTAGGGCAAGGCTTACCAAGCAAGTGAGAACCGCGAAACCCCTGCAGCCAGACACACGCACCTTATCTTCTTTATATAAGGTCTTTTCCAAAAGAAGAAATGGAATCTTCCCGAGCTTGAGGCCCAGCTGCCACGGGCCCCAGGGCAGGGCAGCTGTCACAGGTCCCCAGCTCTCTTCTGCCTAAAGCTATAGACACCCTCTCTCCCTTTCTCTGATTTGCTCAGGACCAGCCACATGGCCCCAGCCCAACTCAAGGAGGCTGGACAGGTATACAGTTTATGAATATTTGAAAAGAATGTGTATGCTGCTATTGTTGAGTGGAATGTTCAATAAATGGTAGTTTTCTTTTTTTAAAAAAAAAAAAAAAAAGAGGGAAGATGGCAGCTTAAAAATCTGGCTGAAAGGGCTGGGGATGTGGCTCTGCCTGTCTCAACGCGTTACGCTATCTCCATTCTCAGAGATCTCCCCACAAAGAAGGCTCCAAGCACAGATGGCATCCCAGCAAGTGCCACCATGTATCAGGGATGAAATGATGCGTGGCTGAAAAAAATGCTGCTTGTGAGGCAAGAGGTCTCTAGGTCACTTTATGACATAGCACTGACACATGGCTGCTAAGGGTAGCACCCCAAGGAAACCATGACACGCTAATGTTATTAAAACAAGTGGTTACACAGTGCTTACTGGGCATCAGATACTGTCTTAGAATGTCACTTACATCTACTCAGGAAACCAGTGTTTAGTAAATCTATGAAATCCAAAGGGTCAGAACAGAGAGGTGCATCATGGCTCACACCTGTAATCCCAGCACCTAGGAGGCTGAGGCAGAAGCATCGCTGTGAGTTCAAGGCCAGCCTGAAATACATAGTGAGACCCTTTCTCCAAAGAAACAACACCCCAGAAAACCTCAGCCAGGTATCCTGAGTGTGGGGCGGAAGGATGTGGCCCAGAGTATAGTACTGGCAAGAAAGGGGATAGGAGAAAGGTTGAAATTGGGTTCCTGTCTGTGAATAGGACTGGGATAACTGGACTCACTTGAGGAAAGCAATAGAATCAGGTTCTTAACCTTCACTGCACACACACACACACACACACACACACACACACACACACACACACAACTCTAGGTAGGATATGTACTGAAATCCAAAATAAAACTATAAAGCCTTCTAGAAGATAACAGTAAGCTATCTTTGTAACTCTGAAGATACAGGAAAAACAAGCTCAATGTCCTGCATGCTCCTAATAATCAACACCGGATTCTGTGATCTCAAGGCACAGGACTCCTCTCCTCCAGCAGGCAGGCAGGCAGCTCTGCAGCAGCCTGCACAACGGAACCCCCAGTCACCAATCCCGACACTGTCCCCCTGGAGGCAGCATCAGACTGAAGGGGTTGAGGGCCCATCTCCCATCTGCAGATGGCAGCAGCAAGGCCCAGGCAGTTTTCCTCATGTGTCAATCCACTATAATTTGGGGTTCTGATGAGCCTTTCTTTTTGGGTTGGGTTAACTTGCTTAAGCAGCTCACAGAACACACTCAGGAAAAGTTTATACTTACGAGTTCACCATAGAGTATGTAATAAAGGGTGCAAATGAAGAGCTGAACAGGGCGGTGTGTAGGGACGGCCTGGGGCTCGCAGACCTGCGCACTACCCTGCGTCAGTCTCCATGCGTGCAGCTCCCCAGAAGCCCCTGGGCTCTGTGCTTCTTTTGTGGAAACCTCATTATGCAGCCATGATGACTGACTGCATCACTGGCCACTGGCGATCAACTTAACTGTCCAGCTCTCTCTCCTGCCGCTGGCGGTTGTGGGGATGGTGCCACTGAAACCCTGGGATTCTTCTTTGGTCTTTCCCTGAGCTACCTAGGCCAACATCATCAGCACACAGATGACCCTATCACTACAGAGATTCTAAGAGCTTCGGGAGATGTATGTCAGAAAACTGGACAAAGACTAAAGATGTATTTCACAGTATCACAATGACCATAAAAAGCAATTTAAAAAAAAATTAGGGGCCAGGAATTTAGTTCAGTGATGCAGTGCTTGCTGAAGTCCTGAGTTCTAATTCCTGGTACCCAAAACAAACAAAACTAAACAAAAAATTAGGATCCAAAATGCTTCAGTTGTAAAAATGTAAGGGTACAATGAACCACATTAAGGTTTGTAATTCCTCTTAAGAAACACTATTAAAAAATGAAAAGCAGCTTTTTAGAAAACACACAGCTCAGAATTACAGGTTGAATGTTCCTTATCTAAAACCCTTGGGACCAGAAGTGTTTCAGATTTCAGATTTTGAAATATTCATATACACTTATGGGTTGACTATCCCTAATATAAAAATCTAGTTTTTTTCCTGTGCTGGGGCTGGATCCTGGGACCTTGTACCCACCAGGTAAGGGGTCTACAGCAAACTTTCAGTAGGATGCTTGACCTATAAAAAAGTCCTGCAAATAAATGAAAAACAAACCTTATGACAGAAGAATGGAAAAGTTTGAACATTCACTGGACAAAAAAGAAATCCAGATGAACAAGAAACACATGCAAAGGTGTCCAGTGTGAAGAGGCGAGTTAAAACCACAAGGATATTATATACCTTGCGGGATGAAGAGGTCACAGACTGGAAGTGCCACAACACGGAGCAACAGACACCTCAGGCACAAGGGAGGGTGGGCAATGGGGATGCTCTGTAAACAGTTTGGAATAGCCCAGTATAGCCATCAAGGGCATGGCTAAGGGTCACAGTGAACAGGAGCACAAGGAAATAATGCCAAAGAACCAAGTGACAATAAATAGTCACTACACAGGCATACATAACATGAAGTATGCGGGGGGGAAAGCTAAGTGGCACACAACCAAAGTGACGCACCAAGACAGCGAAGGATGGGGAACCAAATGAGTTTAGCAACATGGAGCCAATACCTTGGTCTAGTGGGAGACCTAAGAGAGGAGAAAAAGAGATCAATCTGAAGAAACTGAGACCGAGACCTCCACATCTGACGGAAAATATGAACTCATGGGTCCAAGAAGCTCAGTAAGACCAAAATAAAATGACACAATGATCCTTGTCTACTAGATTAGAATGGATTAAAACTATAATCTTTCAATATTTTTAAATAAACAGTCTGATGGAAAGAATCCCACCCTACTGTGCCAACACTAACTTCAGTGACATGTTTTTCTGCTAAGTTACAGAAACTGGTGCTGTTAGAAACAACTGTAGTTTTACTGTGATAGGGATACAACCATGACAGGGAGGAACAGAGAGGGAAAAGGCAGGGGGGAAGGCTCACTCCTGCTTCCATCCCCAGGGCCAGGACCCCAAGGAAGGGGCAGAGCGCTGTCTTCTTAGGCCTGCTCATTCTCCCTAAATTAAACTTTGTTTTAAAAAATCGCCTTGCTTTACCAATTGAGATTACATATGTAAGGGGGCTGGGGAGATGGCTCAGTAGAATAAGCACTTCCCTGGCAAGCACAAGGGTCTGAGTTCAATCCCCGGTTCCAGGAAAAAAAAAAAAAAAAAAAAAAAAAAAAAAAAAAGTATGAGATTACATATGTAACTAGTTTCCAAACTAGAAAAACTAGTTTTCAGTCCTATTATGACATAATTTTCAGATATGCACTACTATGAATACACAGGGTTCAGGTAGGTATTTTTACTATGGTATGTTAACAAAGCAAAACAGTAAAGATATTTCTTATATCTTCTGAGTATTACTTTTATAAGTTTGAGACTTATTCTCGCTCATCTATCATGGTGAGGAACTTGAGATTTATAGAGAGCCACTTAAAAATTAACTTTTCAGAATATATTATTCATTGAATAAGGACTGTTTACTGCACAAGAAATTATTCCTTTAATTAGCATACATAGTACAAAGGGAAGTGCTGTGGAAGGAAAGTGCTGTGGCGCCTTCATCTCATGTAGTTTGATGACAAAGCAATCGCTGGTATGTCTTCTGACAGGTGAAGTCCAGGGTCCACCCTGTAATTTTAGGATTCTTCAAAGAGCTGAGTTACAGACCCTGAATGTGCTTCAGTGAGGAAAATGTAACTACAAACACAAAGGTCAAGTCTCACCAGCAAACAGAAGTGCAAGAGTGCACACTTGTGGCAGAGGACATGCATAGCTCTGAGTAGGATCAGCAGGACTAGCAGTCCCCAAGGCTGTCACTGCGAGGTGGGAACAGGGCTGCAGTCTTCTTAAGCTCCTGGAAGCTCCAGCGCATCTGCTCCACCTCTGCCCTGTGCTGTGCCCTTTCCCGGCTCAGTTCCTGCAGGAGGTGCTCGTTGGTGTTGACCAGGAAACTGGAAACAACAGGGAGGTGGTCACTAGACTCCTCCTCATGCTTCAGCAGCACTGCCCCCCTCCACTGCCACTGCCCAGCTCAAAGCGTTCCACGCACAGCCAGCCCTTAGCCCCTCCCCCGTCAGAATCTCTCATCGCCCAGGGACATCCAGGTCCACTGTCCGTGGCTTCATCACCTCCACTACTTCCAGCTGCCCATCTGCTTTGCCCTTTCAGACAGAAGCAGCAGCCTCCACCTGACGCTGAATGAGATGAATGAGCTGATCCACCAGATGAATGAGCTGAATGAGCAAATGGGTGGACGCATGGCCCCCTCAGCATCCTGTCCTACATGGCTCTTAGAGAAGAGGATGTTAACCTTTGTGGCCAGCAAAACAATACTCACTCCAGAAGGAATCCAGACAGCAGTGTTTCTAATTTCCAACCAGAGGAAACAACTTGGATGTGTAATAGTGTCATAGAGGAGTCCCCTCTCTATACTCCTGACCACCTTTCCTGGAGGAGGAATTCATAAATGCTACTGTTTTCCCCACTCTATTCCTTGGTTCCTGTTCACCGAGTTGGCAGTGACAAAGGACATTTAGGTTAGCACTAGTTTAGACAATGGAGCCCACAATGACTTTTGCCATTTTCACCACAAAGACAGCCACACTGTAGGCCAGTCCACTGAGCAGGTACTGGACCTGTTTGCTTAGATCACAGAAACAGCTGCTGGTCAGAATCAGCATGACCACCAGAAGCCACAGCTGGGTCCCACTGCACTCAGAAGCCCTGGACCCTGCCGTGCCCACATCTGGGCCACAGAATGACTGCCAAGCTGTTTGATTTGCCAGAGATGTCCGGTGGGTCCCAGGGAGGAATCAGCTTGCCACTGCCTGCTCCTCTCCACTGTCTCAGCTCAATCTCCTCTCCCTCCCTCCCCAGTAACTTACGCTCGTAATGGAGTCAGGGGAACTGTGGCCTATGTTAATCCCTAAAGAGTCAGCTTAGCATGGGAACAGACTATCCCTAAATGTAAGGAGGAGTGGACACCTCAGCAAGACAAAAGGCAAAAATGGAATGTGAGGAAAGAGAGTGAGAATGCCTCCGAACCCAGGCAGCCTCGGCTCACATGCTATAGCCACAAGGCGCAGTGTGCTAGCCCTCCCTGTTGAGCAACTTGCCTCTTTGCCTGTGGCTGACTTTCTCTCCATATCCACTCTCCACCTGCTTCTCAGCACACACCTTTCTGAATAAAGACCGAGGCTCTGCCTGGACCACTACAACACCCTCAGTCCACCTCTTGACACCCAAACACAGCCAGAGAGTAAAGATGGGATCCATGTGTTCCTAAGCCGACAGTCACAACTGCACAGGAACCATGGCCCAGGGAACTGGACGCTGCTGCATGTCATCACTACTCACGTGCCCCTGACCTCTCACTGCCCCTGGCCATGCCTCCTGGTCACACTTTATAGAAAGCTGTAGCATGAAAGGCCTCACTTTTTTTTTTTTTTTTTGAGGGGCTGTCACAGAAGTTCCAAGGCTACACTGTGACACCTGTGGGTCTTGGATGCTAACCACTGAGACAAATGCCAACTGTGCCTCTGTGCCTGTCTACAGTGACCCAGGCCAGCTCTACCTTCTCATGCCTCCACGTCTCCCCTGCCTCACAGGCCCAGCCAGCAATACCTGTGGCTCTCCTGCAGCATCTGGGTGAGCTCCTGGATCTTGTCATAGTGCTCGAGGTGCTGCTTTAGTTCCACCACCTCACCAGACAGTTGCTTGATACTCATCTGAAGTCCTGAAGACAAGAGGTGGCACTGTTTAGTGAAACTCATTCCTATGTTTTCAGCAATGCTAGTTTAAAGTCCATCTGAGTCATCAGAAAAGGAAGACAGCTTGAGAAAGGTCCACTTCCATAAGGGATCTAAAGATGGGGGTGAACTAAGCACCTGCTTAGGCAAGTGTAGGGACCAGGGTTCGATCCCTGGCACCACATGCTGTGCTGGCCCCACCCCTGGCACACTGAGCTGGCCATGGAGACCGGGTGTGGGTGTGGTGGTGCATGCCTGTAGTCCCAGCACTGGAGAGGCTGAAAACAGGAGGATCACTATGAGTCCAAGCTGTGTAGGGAGACCCTGTACCAAATACAAAAGAAAACAAACAAAAAACAAAGATGAGGATGAACATGGGTTCTGAGGCTTAAATGCTAGGTCCCTCCACTGGGTGAAGTGGTAAGGGGGCAGGCCCAGAAGAGTCCCAACCTCATGTGGAGAGGAGAGTGATGATCAGCGTGTACCTCCTCTATCCTCTACTAGATCTGCCCACTAGAGGGTGTCTCACCCACCAGGAAGCTGTGCCCAAGGGGATCTGTGGCTTTGGAACATTCAGAAGCCTGCAGTGGCCACATGTCTCTGATGAGCATCCTCTGATATGGCACCCATCAATGATAGTGCATATGCTGGGTTTCCTTCTACAAAGTTCCTGCCTTTCTGGGTTTCTAACTCAAGAAGGAAAGAGAAGTATCCTTTACTGGCCCCCTAAAATCAAATGCTGGATAAAATGAAATCCACCTTTATATACATGATTGTATAACACACATTATCAGAGATGAGTTAGCTAGAGAGGGCAAGGCGAAGAATGACCAACAAACCCAACAGCAACTGAGGGCACAGTCAGCATGCTCAGGTAACACGCCTGGGGATCTGTCTACTCAAATTCCTCCTCAAAGGCATGAACAAAAGGGATTCTGGGAGAGGGAAGTGGCAGCATCTCCCAGAATCCCCACATTAGTCAAACAACTGGTAAGTAGATCAAAAACTAGAACCTCATGAACAAAGGAAAAGGGAGCCTCATAGCCCTAAACATAGGAGCCTTGGGACGGGTGCGGGAGCTCCTGGTCATGAACAGTGTCTGTACCTGGGAGGAGCAGAGGTTGGCAGCAGGTACCCGACAGATCCGAAGGGAGAAAGCCCCCAACTATCTTGTTTTTCTGGGTCAAGAAAGGAATCTTGGGAGATACAGGAGAGGTCCATCCCTCTAGTGAGGTGAGACCAGAGGGTCTCATGCAGTCTGGAGGGGGTAACTGACCAATCCTTTTAGAATAGGGCCCACATTACAGAGAAGGCTGATGCAAGAAGCCAGGTAGTACATGGACATCAAAGAGAGGACTGGGGAGGAAATAAGGCCTGAAAAATCCTTAAAAAGGAGGCTGCCATAGTTTTGATCTAGGAAGGCAGAAAAGCCATCCCAACTTTACCTCCTTTTAGAAACTGGAACAAATGTCATAAAATGAATAACAGAAAAGTACTGCCATCAAGTCTCATAGACACCATGACAGTACAAGACAGTGACAGCCAGGCCACAAGGGAACCCAGTCCCTGCTCACCATTTCAGAATGAGAAAGTACAAACAGGAATTAAAGAGCCTGAGTCAGAATCAGAAAACCCAGACAGAACTAACAATAAAGAAAAAGAGGGACACTAGAATGAAGGGTAAGATAGAATGAACCTCGGCACAAATAAATGTAAGTAATGTCTTCTAGAAACAGAAAATTAAAAAGGAGAAAGTTACTTGTACAAAAGGAAAATGAATATAAAGAACTCTCACCAATCACTAAAACACCCCAATGAAAGTGGGCAAGAGGTCGAAGCAAGTACTGTGCCCAAGATAGACCTGGTGGCATGTCCCATCTACGGTCCTTCTGGCTGCAAAGGCCACAGCAAGGGGCACGAAGCAGGAGGGTACCAGTCCTGAAACACTCCTTTCCTGCTCTTTAAAGTACCCTTAAGGACCTGAGCAGAGGATGCACACTGTCCATCCCCACGAAATACAAACTGATCCAGAGACACTGCCATGGAAACAAAAGACACCATCACCAATGATTCTTTTCAAAGTCTGAACCTGAATACCAAAGGCACTCCTCTTAAAACAACAAAATAGAACCAAAGTAAGTGAAGAGCAGGAAGGCAAACTATCTGGGCCTGGAGGAATCAGCGAGCAGGGAACGGACCTCAGGGTGCCTGCTCAGGGTCAGGAAAGCAGCCAGGGCTAAGCTCCCCCATGACAGGGCCAGCATGCCTCCTCAGATGCTTGGCACCACACCCATGGAAGACCCATCTGAGGTTCTAAGAGCCAAAGGAAACCGTGAGTCCCACGCTGCTGGTCTTGGCACACTGTGCCTGTGTGCTCTGCCAGCACGGCCAGGCCACCATACAAGGATCAGCGAGGTAGGGCACCCGTCAGCACACGCTGCTGCCACCCCTGGCAAGAAGGACTTCGAATGACGTCTCCACATGCACACCTGAACACTCCAACAGTACTATTACCAAGTAAGTAAGCCAGAAACTCACCAGAGATCTGCACATTTAATGCTGCTGATGTCTCTTCATTTTTTACTTCTTTTTTCATGTTAAACAACATAGATTTTAAGCTATTATTCTCCTCCAAAGACCTGTCTAAATGTTGTCTCAAGGTATCCTAAGGACATAGGAAACAGACTTAAAATAAGTCAAACTCAGTAAAATACATATATTAAAAGGAATTCAACTTTTTGATGATGGGCCAGGGAGATACTCAGCAGCATAAGCACCTGCCTGGCAAGCGCAAGGTCCCAAGTTCAAACCCCGGTACCAAAAACAAAAACTAAAAACAAAAAAACCTTTCTGATGACAAGCAGTTTCTTTTTTACATTAATTCTAAATGACAATAGCTACCCTGCCTGAGCAATGCGAGTTCCTTTCAGAGGGAGAACAGGTGTTCCAGACCCAGGAGACACGCGAGGAACCTTCCCAGGGAGCCCCAGGCCTTCTTCAGGAAGAGCTGCAGGTCCTTCCTCTCCAAAGCCATCAGCCTTTGCCCAGGATGACAGTCTCTCTTATGCCTAGGGTCCCTTGTGACAGGTGGCTATCCAAGGTGGCCCAGGGCTCCCACAGATTTGCAGTCTCCTCTGCCCATCCTCCTTGCTTCCATAAAGGAGAACCTGGGTCAGTTTTCAGGAAGCTCTGTTTTATTTTCTACATGGCAAGCCCACCTTAGGGGCACATGAGCCTGCCAACCCTGACAGTTGATAGTGAGGGCTAGCCACTGGACCTAAGAGCATTCCTGTGAGCCTGCATCTTTCAGTGCCTCCTGCAACGAGGCCAGGACACAGTTCTTCCTTCCCTGAGCACCCTGGGGTCACACAAAAGCTGTCACTGGGTAGCCATGTTCGGCTCCCAGTTCTTGACTATAGTTCTAGCTGGTAGGCACAGGTGACAGGGGACAGATTACACCAAAATTGGGGGCCACATATACAAGGATAGTAGCAGAGCCACTACCTTCACTGCTGCCTGGGCCTTTGCCTCAGGTGGTGACGTCAGCACCAACAAGCAGCACCACACAGGCGCACACACTATGGAGCCAGCACCTTCATTCCATAGGGAACACTTGAGCTTGATGATAAGTCCACACACCTCTCCTCTCAACAGTCCCAGCTGCCCCTCGGTGGTGCCACCATATGGGCTCCTGACCAGAGTGGCTGGCTGCTCCCTCCTAGAGCTGAGCCATCCGGGATTGAACTTGGACGACAGGAGCAGGGTTTGGTCACTTGCCCAGACAGGGAACTCTAGCACACACTCGTGCTAGAGCTGAGACCACTCTCTGAGACAGTGTTGGTAGGAATGCAGAGAAGGCGAGAGCAGGCACTCAGAGACCACACTTCTGTACCGGACCTCTACATGGCAGCAGCACGAAGCTGACACAGGCTCTGCGGGTCCGGATGCACTGGTCCTGATCTGACAAGGTTTTCAGGCTGCACCAACCCAGGCAGCATGGGCTGTCGTCTCCCTGCAGAGTCAGGTTCATACTGTTCCACACAGACTACGTTCTGCCCTGGGCTGCGGTCCAGACACACTGGACTCAGCCCTTCCCAAACAAGACCCATGAGCATATGCAGGAGGCTCACGGCATAAGGAATAGAGGTTCTCTATGGCATTTCACTGCTTTTCTCTAAAAACGCAGCTTTACAAGGGCTATCTCACAAGGATTCTCATAAAGGATTTAGCTGGGTGTGGTGGCATAGGCCTGTAACCCCAGCACTCTGAGAAGCTGAGGCAGGAGGATCCCAAGTTTGAACCTAGCCAGAGCAACTCAAGGACTTAGTAAGACTCTCCACAAATTTTTTAAAAGGCCTGCAGATATAGCTCAGTGTGAAGGGCCTGGGCTCAATTGCCAGTACCTCATAAATAAAGGAATTTAAACAGGCGAAAGATGTATTCGATCTGAAGAAAAACCAGAGTATAAATAAAGGAATTATTTGCCCAGTAATTTCAGATCCCTGTCCAGAAATCCTTTGGTGTTTTCAGCCTGTTTTAAAGATGAGGCCAGTGCTGGGAGACAGCTCTATGGTCTAAGTGTCTGCCTGGCAAGTGCAAGGACCTGGGTTTGATCTCTAGCACTGCACATTGTTTCAGCCACCAAAACTGGGCATGGTGGTCCACGCTTACAACCCTAGCACTGGGGAGGCTGAGACAGGAGGATCATCTGAGCTGCATAGTGAGAGCTGTCCTCCAATGGGCAGGACAGATAGTCGCTGCAGTGGTGGAAACCCCTGCATGCCCTTCTCCATGGGAGAGGACATAAGAATTAGGTCTCAAAGAATGAGACTGCCATCGTGAGTACTGCCCACACCACAAGAACTCCCACACGCCACAAGGCACTGAGGCCTGGGGGCGCGGTGTAGACAGTCTCTGCTCAGTACCTTTTAGCAGCCCTCCCATCTGCAGGTCCGAGATTACACCTTGGAGTGCGGTGCTGCACAACCATCCAGAGCTGACCCAGTGGGCCAGTACTTCCCACTCGGAGAGGTATGGATGCTGACAAAACAGAGTACTCCCAAAACTCCAAACACCACAGGAGCTTCCAAGGGTCCCATCCAGCTCCAGTTGTCCTTGGATGCCACCTGGTGGCAGACAGTCAGTCTGCCCTGACACAGGGCCACCTGCTGCAAGCTCATTCATCAGACTGGGGCCAAATATGCTGCTTTGGGCATGGATTCACCCTCAACCCCCATCTTGTAAAAGACAGCAACCAGCAAGCAGAGCTGGGATGACCAGTGACACTGTCATGCCAAATTCACTGCACCTGTGGTCTGAGTGTGCAGCAGTGAGGCAGTGTTTTTAAGATGCAGAATGCTGGGGGCAGAGGCCCTCGAGGCCCAGGAGGGGGCATGGGCAGCAGCTTAAGACAGCCAGGGACAGTGCGGGTTTGTGAAGTCACAAGTCTACCCACACCCATTCCAGAACAGTGAAGGAAACAGATGAAAACGGTGCCAGACTCACTCACCACCTCCCGCTGGGCACTACTGAGCTCCGCTGTCACCTCACTCACGGTCGTGGTGTACTGCTGCTGCTGCTCAGCAAGTCGCATGTGCAGAGACTGATTTTCAAGGGCCAGCTGGCTGACTTCTTCATTTCCAGGTGCTGCACTGCCTTGAGATGATGCCAGCTCTTGGACAGATGACAAAACATGCCTTGCCTGGGCTAGGAGGAAAATGAACTCCGTTACATACTTACCAATGAAGGATGGACTGTATGCCTAGAAAACACGGTGGGGCACACAAGGACAAAGGATATCAGAGGCTCAAAGTCCTCTCACTCAGGCTTTCTTATATGTCATTAAGGGGCAGAGTGAGGGGTGTGTGGAGAAGAACAGAAGACAGGATACCCTGGTATGAAGGCTGCACTCTAGGCAGCCACATCTAGAATGGCATGGGAGTGCTGGAAGCTTAATGATGGGCAGCCCCTGGGTGACACAAACCGGGTCCCACTGTCACAAACAAGAGTGGCCCCAACACAGGTTAGGGCCACAGGTTAGAGATGCGGGGTCAGGGGCTGCAGCTCCTGAGGGTGTCCTGATCCAGAGGAAGCAAAACCCTGATTGAAGTGACTCAGGGTACTGTCCAGGGTCTGCCACTGGCCAGTGAGCTCCTAGGGAACAACAGCACACAGCCCAGGATGCAAAAGAAAGCGAAGCAGCTACTGGGCTCTAAGTGCCAACCTGATAAAAGGGGTCCTAGTGTGCTCCTGTACCAGGTCCAGTCTGTGGAAGCAGGGACTCGAACCCTCTCTAGAAAGGCACCACCCTGCTTACTCACAGCATTGCCCTGGATCCGTACAAAACCAGACACAGCAGACTCAGAGAAGATTTCAGGCGGCTTGCAGCTCTCCAAACCCCCATGTGAACACATCACTTACAGCCCTGCATTATGGATGGCGCTTTGGCACTGGCAGGTGGGATCCCACAGCCAGGGGCCTGCTTGGGACCTCATGAACTCCTGGCTATCCTGCTGGGGCAGAGACCACATTACCTTTATGGGAGCATGATAATGTCTAAATGCTGGGACAACTTACCTGATTCTCTAGATCCCCAAACACATGGCAGATTAGGAGTACCTGTCAAGAGATGCTGCCAACAAGGTGGAAACACCTTCACTCAGGACTCACCTAGGAACATCTGGTTCCCATGCAGGGACCTGCAGCCACTCCAGTACTTGTCTACCAGGTCGAGGAGCGCCTCCAGGAGCACCATCTCCAGGGCAGCCCTCCTCTCCAGTGGAGCTGCCAAATGTACTACAGGAGGTGGCTGTGACAGAGACAAAGTCATAAATCTTTCATTTCATGAGATGACTGATTACTGCAAAGATGGGATCTCTAACATCAGCATACCTGTAAGCTCCAATTCACACCTCCTGCCATGGAGAGAACCTGGCCCCAGAAGTGTGCCTCACAGCCACCTGTGAAGCTGACAGGCTGTCAGAGCACCATCTTGGGCAATGTCCCAAACACCCAAGAGCAACCCCCAACAGTGGGCTCAGAACAACCAGGGTGTGGTCAACATAGTTTCCCTGGTTCTCGCCTCCTGACCAGCTTAGGGCAAACCGGGGAAAGTGAGACATGCCGCTGACCTCCTAGGAGCCCTCCCATAAGAACCTCCACCTCGAGGAGGAGGGCCTGTGCTCCCTGGAGCTAGCATTTCCACTTAGAGGCACCTTTACTCCTCAGCCTACCTCCAGGGCTCTATACAACACAAAGACGGAAACCCTGCTCCAGTGGCTCTGGGTCCGAACCTTCCTGTGCTCATCCAGGTATCCCTTGCTCATGTCTCAAAGCCTCTAACTACATGGCAATGTTGTCCATGGGACCTCTGAGTTCTCTGAGGGTGGAAGAACTCAATACCTCATCGGAATTAGCATACTGGAAAACTACTCGATACACTTCCAAGACTCCTCCACATTACAGAGTAAATGGTGGCTCCAGGTGGTCATGATGACCGATTCCAACCTTGGAAATCAATATGAAGAAATGAGACAAAAAAAACTGACATCTGTGTATGCCTCCTCCCCAAACACACAATACTACAAGAGACAGGGTAGAGCTCAGGAACAAATGCTAAACAAAACTACACTGAACAGCTGCTTCATTGTGATGCTCGGTCAGTCCTGAAAGGCACGAGGTCACACTACAAAGACCACTCCTCTCTACTGCTCAGTCAAGGAAACAAGGCAAGGCACTGGCGGCCAACACCAAGGTCCCAAACTCGCCACTCCGGAGTTGCTTGCACTGTGAGATGTCTGCTCTTCAGTCTCTGATGCTCCAGAAAGAGCAAAGGCCCTCCGGCTCCAGCTCCCTGAGCTGTTCTGCACACTCAGATTCTCCCTCAGGCTGTGGGGCCCACCAGCTCTCTCCAGATGGCTCAGGTGCTCCTGATCTGAAAGTGTGTGGAACCTTTCACCAGGCATCCTGTGCTTCCTATATACCTTTCAGGAACAGGCAAAGGATTCAATACCTTTTGTGATGACAAATTTGGCTTCTGAGAAGAAGAGGAAGAGTCCTCGATATCTGTGGAGGCTGTAATACGGAAATAACAGAGCTACTGTAAGGAATTCTACACGTAAGTAAACAGACATCAGGAGAAACATCACAGCTGTAGCCAACCCTGTGGAAAATGTCTGCTCAGAAAGACCCGCAGTGGAATCACCTGGGTGAGTGCTGACACTGGTGTGCGGGTTGTGGGCACAGCAGGCCTCAGGCTCCCCATGCTGTGGAGACAGCTCCCAACAGTGCTGGTGTGGAGGTGGCTGCTCGGAGTAGTACGTGCTGGAGCTGGCTCTCCTCTTATCACGACCCTTCCTTGGGGTGTCCCCACACTGGTGCTGGACAGGTGGAGGGCTCGGCAGATTTCTGGACTCTATTTTGTTAAAAATATTTTTAAGGTTTTACTTCATGAAAATTACATTTAAGTTTTTGACAGTGTATAACAATCTCTAAGCATACTTCTTATAAACTGATTAAGATGCCTAAGGGGGCTCATCATGTAGCAACCAACACTGCAGTGAATTCCAGCCAGTTCTGCAGGTGGGCAAAGGACAGGGCCAAGGGCTGACAAGATCTGACCTCACCACTTACAAGAAAGTGACAAGACAGCTGACAGCGCAGGAGAAATTTATGTGAGTCCATAAAACAGAATACAGAATGAGGAGAGCAGTCAGCTGATTTGGAACAAGTATACCCAGGTAACTAAATGAGAAACAGTCCTTTCGATGACTGATATCAGAACAAATGTACCTGTAAGAAGGGGAGGAGGGGCAGCCAAGCCCATTCACTTACACCATACATAGAAATTAGCTCCAGCTGTGAGTGGTGGCACACACCATTAACCCTAGTACTTTTGAGTCTGAGGCAGGAAGGTTGCTTTCATTTGAGATCAGCCTGGATTGCATAGAGTTTAAGGTCAGCCTGAACTACAAAGTGAGACTTTGTCTCAAAAATGCAAAACAAAACAACTACCTTCCCCCTAAAAAAAAAAAAAAAATCCACACACTTGAAATTCCAGGGTGTCTGTGAGAAAACACAACCCATCTCCTTAGCCATGGGTGGATAAAGATTTCCTTAGGGGACACAAAAAGCCAAACCATTAAAAAGAACACCCATCTAGACTTCATTGAAGCTAAAACATGCTCTCCAAATTACTATTAGGAAAGTGAAAAGATGAGCCAGGGGATGGGACTAATGGTGCAGGCTGGCGATAATCCCAAAGGGCAGGGATGCAACAGATGGGAAAAATGCCACACAAGGGAGAAAATGCCACGGGAGAGGGCTGCCATGGGTTGGGGCTGCCACACAAGGAAAATGCCACACAATGGAGACAATGCTGTGGCATTGTGATAAGGACACAATGGGGATAAAGCCATGGGATAGGGATGACACGGGGCAGGGACAATACCACAGGACAGCAATAATGTCAAAAGATAGGGACAATACCATAGAATATGAGAAAATCCTCAGTACATGTACAGTATGAGAAAGGATTTGTATCCAGAAACCATAAAAAGTTATTACAACTCAAGACCAGGAAGAGAACTAGCCCCATGAAATGGAGTGGACAGCCTTCAATAGAAAGGGTCCAGAAGACACATATTTTATAGCACTAGTCTACAGCAAAATACAGAGTAAAATTGTCATGAGTCTTGGGCCAGAAAGATAGTGTTGTCCTTGCCCCGTCATCCCTACACTGATGCCTCAACGTGACAATGTTTTCACAAAAAAACCCATACTGTACTGGAAAGTGAAGCTAAAGCTTATGAACAATCCTAATAAAAAGAAGACCCCAAACAAACTGTGTAATGCTCCTACCCCAAGTGAGGAGCTTACAATGCCCCTTGTGGTATCAGAGGACCTATCCACAGCTGCCTCACAGAAGCAGAGCGTCCACACCACTCATTCCTGATGCTAACATCAGGTCCACTAGCCACCAGTCGCTTGACTTTCTTCTCTACTTTAGATGTTTTACTTTTCTGATAATCTGAACAACCAAGCAATATGACTATACTCCAATTAAATATGTTAGCTTTTCCTCTCATAATTCCTCAGTCCATACTATTGGCCATTCCAAGTCCACAGAGACTTCGGGAAGGTCCTATCACTGGAGGGAACCTTGTCAACAGCACAACGATGCATGTTGGCGTCAGTGACTGCAGCCCACTGGTCTTGGGTGTGGGAAGCTGTTAACTGGTATCCATTTTATAATAGTGTCAGCCATTTTCTTGAGTTTCTATTCCCCTGCTGAGTTAAGTTTCTGGTCCTTCCCACCTTGCCCATTCCCCATGAATCACGTGCTATGCCCCAGGGGTGGGACCTTCCTCCGTTGCCTAGATACCTGCTGACATCAAGAGCCGAGACTTCCTCACTCCTATACTCTCTATATATACCCAGCACCTCCCCTGAATAAACGAGACTTGATCAGACTCTCCTGTCTTGTCTCCATTTCTCGCGTCTCCTGTCCTCTGTCCCCTCCTCCATTCCCTGCTCCTCTCCCAGGTGACCTTCATTGACTGACCTGCTGGACGGGACACTTGGGTGTGTCGGATGGTGACTTCTTGCTCCTGGCTGGAACTCGTGCTCCCAGGAGGATTGTTGAGGTCCCACTCACACTCGGCAATGAGGTTCAGGACCGCCTCATCATCCGCATCCATGACCAAACACTTCTTGGCTGAGGTATCAGCACACCTGACCCTAGAGCGGTGTGGCCTGCAAGGGAAGCAGACTACTCATCAGCGTCACCTGTTCCATGGTGTACCCCAGCTTGTGGTGTGCCCTGACCCACAGGCATATCTGCATAGCTCCTGTCATATCTTGGTGATGCTGCATGATCATGCGCCTCACTGCTCTACTAGGTGACTAGGAGGAGGGAAAGATGCAGGATGACTGGTGACCAACAGCAAGGTCAGAGATGCTACTACCATAACACTCAGGCACTGTACCTTCTAGACAAGTTGAACACACTCAAAAGGGTCCCCTCTCTAACAAACCCAATGCAAATGCTGTGAAGACTGCTCTTAAGAGGAAGTTCACATGTATGATGCTTCATTGCTGCTCTGCTTTGACAGCCTCGTCACTGCCTTGGATTCTGTAGATTGTGGGCTAAAGAAGGGGACCCAGGGCCTGAGTCTGAGGCTGTCCACACACACCTGATGTCAGAGCAAAGCACAACCACTCATGTCCACTATACCCTCTAGATGGCCCAAGTCACCTATTAGGTCCTTAACTTTAAAAGCCTTTGTGACACCCCCGGTCTTAGAAGTACCAAGGACAAGGGACACTAACTCTGCAATGACAGTATCTCCAACTAAAGCTTTCAGACATCGTAATGACCACTCAACTGTGCTGAAAAACTTGTCAACTGTGACACTATGAAACATGTGTTTGCTCCTTCGCTCAGGCTTCTCACATGCAAATCAAAAACCCTTGGAATCTCCAGAGTGACCCGAGTCCTGTATGTGCAGTGAGCTGGCTGATTGCTAGACCCTGGGATCAGGAGGGGGCTGTTACCAAAGACTTCGGCAGGACCAGGCTAGAATTTAAACTACACCAGAACTAAGATGAAAGGGGGATGGCTAAAGAAGATTGCTGGGCAGAGTTGTGTTATAAGAGCTGCTCTCCAGAAAAAGAAATTATCATTAGCAGCTCATTTCAACGGCCCAGAATGAGTAATAGAACTTGCTTAATTGTGGGTCATACTCAACCTGTTCAATAAACTCCAATGACTACATTTAGGGGAAAATGACTACTATGTTCAAGTCAGTAGATAAAGTGGCTAAATGAAAAGCCAAATTGCGCTATGAGGGTAACAAGTAAACACTGGGATTTTAGCAGAGATTTTGAAACAGACTGAGCCAGGGCCTTTTTTCTCCTAGCTGGTGCATGATCACCCATGTTTACTTTCAAGAGTTTGAGTATTACTTCCCAACCATAAAAGACCCCCAAATCAGGGAAGAATGGATCTGTACCCATTTGTACATAAGCTAGTGAATCAACTTTCTACAACAGAAAGGGATCTGGGTGCTTCAGATCACAAATCATAGTCGCCTTAAAAGTATGTTTAAGACAACTTCATATCTCCATATGCTCTGGATTATAGTGAAGGTGAAATATCCTGAGAATGTTAAAAAAAAAAAACAACACTGAAAAGCCTGCTTCCATTTTCAACATCCTATCTTTGTAAAGCAGGGTTAGCAACCAATATGAGGTTACAGGCCTGGCTGGACATAAGCAACAAACTTTGGTATCAGTATCACATATCAGCTCCAGGTGGGAATTTCTAGTTCCAGGGAAATAAGCTCAGGGCCCCCACTGATTCTGTACTATGGTGAGCTGTATAATTATTTCATTATATATGAACACAGTTTAGTAATAGAAATAAAGTACATAATTTATGTAATACACCTGAATCATCTGAAAGCATCCTCTGACCCCTATTCCTGTTCTGCAGAAATATCGTGTTCCACAAAACCAGTCCCTGGTGTTAAAAAGGCTGAGGCTTGAGGACTCTGCCCTCACCTGTGGGATGTGATGCTGAGTCCTACAAGAAAGTCTCTATGTAATGAGAAATGGGACAAGCTCAAGGAAGATCCTCATCACGTCTTTGCCTAAGGATAAACTAAGTCTGAAAAACCTGACAAACTCCAAGAATGGTGGATGATTCCACTGTCCTGGAATCTTCCATACCACTCCATCAGAAATGGACAGAAGTCATTAGGACACAACTGTTTCATCAAACAATAGCAGAACACATCTTTTTCTCCAGACTCCATGGAACATCCACCAGACAGACATCATTTGAGGCCATGATTCACACACTGGCAGATTTAAAAGAACAGAAATCATACAATATATACCTCAGATTACAATGGAATTAAAGTAGAAATGGTAACAGAAAGGTAACTGGAAAATTCCCCATACTCTGAGATTGAACTACTCCTTTGTGAATAATGAGTTGAACATGAAATTTCAAGAGAAATTTTAAGATACTTTGAAAAACTGAAAAAACATCATAGTAAGAAAAAAAAATCACATGATCCTATCAATAAACACAGAATAAGCATATGATAACAAACCAACACCTAGTTATGATTAAAAAAACTCTTGCACTAATTTAGGAATAGAAAGGACTTCCTCAATGTGGCAAAGACTGTCTATAAAAACTACAGCCCACTTCATATTTAATGATAAGAAACTAGCTTTCCTGCTAAAACCAGGGACAAGGCAAGAAAGTCTCCTCTTGCCACTGCTTTAACATTGTACAGTAAGTCCTAGATAATGCAGTACGACAGGTAAAGGAAAAAGTACATAAATTGGTAAGGAAGAAATACAACTATTTCTGTTCACAGATGACATCAATGTCTAAATAAAAACATCCTGCAAAATCTCATCGCACTAAGTGATTGCAGCAAAGTTACAGGATACAAGGTATGACTGTCATCTACACTTGATTAGACTAAAAAACACCCAGGAAATTAGCAAAGCACACGTCCACGTGTGTCTGTGAAGGTATTTCCAGAGATGCCCGGCAAGTGGGGCAGCAAAGAGACAGGAAGACTTGGCCTTGGTGAGGGTAGCACCATCCTAGAGGCTACATGCTGAGATGAACCAAAACAGAAGCGGAACCTTAGCCGGCATGGGTTGTCCCTCTCTCTTCTCTCCTTCCTGGGCCCCGAGAAGTGAACAGCTTCCTCCATCACATCTTTCCACAATTATGTTTCAGCCTTGCCACAGACTGAGAAGCATGAAGCCAGTGGACCGTGGCCTAAAACCTCTGAAACAGAGAGCCAAAATACACCTTTTCTCCTCTAACTTGTTATTGTCAGGTACTTTATCACAGCAATGAAAAGCTAATACCCATCAAAAAGATACAAAGTGAGATAGGAGGATTACTGCACATTCAAGTCCAGTCTGAGCTACACAGTGAGTTGAAAACCAGCCTGAACTACATGGTGAGACTCTGTGTCCAAAACCAAACCCAAACCCCAACCCCAACCCAAACCATAAAAGTATGAAGTCTTTAACCTCACTACTCAGAATGTGACCCTATTTAGAAATAAGGTCTTTACAGAGTAATTAAATTACTATGAGGTCCTTAGGGATCAAGATAGTATGGCGCTGGTGAGAACAGAAACACGTCAGTGGAGCAAAATAGGGCCCAGAAAATTCTTACACACAGTTACTGCTACTTAACAAGGAAGCCAAGGAAATTAAAAAGGACAATATAAAAATGAATCTGAACACAAACCTCACACAGTTCACAAAAACAAACTCAGAATAAACCACATAACTAATTATCAAATGAAAGTAACAAAGTTCACAGAAGACAACATGGAACATCTAGTGGACTTTACGGTTGCCAGTGACTTTTAAAATGTAACAACAAAAATACAGCCATGAGGGCTGGCCAGATAGTTCAGCAGACTAAAGTGCCTGTTTAGGCAGAGCACAGCAGCTGGGGTTCGATCCCAGCCAGCCCCGCCCCTGGGGTGCGGTGATTGAGACTGGGCATGGTAGTACACACCTGTACTTTCAGTGCTTGAAAACAGGAGGATCACTACGAGTCTGATCTACATAGTGAGACCCCGTAGATCCTACACTAAATAGATTTTAAAAAATACATTCATGAAAAGAATAACTGGTTAGTTGGACTTCATTCAACACTTCTGCTCTATGAAAAATGCTGTTACGAGAATAAAATGATAACACAGATTGGGAGAAACTATTTCTAAAGTGTGTATCTGACAAAGGACTACATCCAAAATAAAAAAGAGCTCTTAAAACTCAACCGGATCAAAAGTGGGCAGGTCCGGAGAGATGGCTCAGTGGAATAAGCACTTCCCTGGCAAGCGCAAGGGCCTGAGTTCAATCCCCGGTTCCACCAAAAGAAAAAAGTGGGCAAATGATCTGAAGCATCTTCTCACCATGGAAGATAGACACGCTGATGAGCACATGCGAAGATGCTCCACAGCACATATGACCAGGAAATGGCAGTTAAAACGAGATGAGGCCACACCCTCATCAGGACAGCCAACATTCAAAACACTGACACCAACAAAGGCTGACAAGGACTTTAAGTACTCACCACTGATGGAACACAAGATGGTACAGCCACTCTGGAGGGCAATGTGACAACTTTCCACAAAACTATACATACCATACTATCCAGCAATCAAGATCTTTGGTATGTATCCAAATGAAATGACAACTCTGTCCACATAAAAACCTGTGAACAAATGTTTGGGGCAGTTTATTTACAACTGCCAAACCTCAGAAGCAACCAAGCTGTCCTTCAGCAGTTGAAGGCTTACCCAGCTCAGGGTTTTGGAGTATGACAGTCCAAACATGGTGACGCTGGCTTCTGGTGATGGCCCCTTGGCTGTGCCGCACTATGGTGGATGTGCACAGGAGGCCAGAGTGACTCGGGGCGTGGGCTCACTTGTAGCGACTCACTCTCATCCTTTCTGAGGACACGCTGCTAATGACCTAACCTCCTACCAGGCCCCATTTACGGTCCCATCACTACTTAACAGTAACACGGTGAGGAACAAGCGCCCAAAAAATGAAGCCTCATGGTGCACATATAAACTTAATGCAACCACTGCAAATTCCAACTATACGGCATTTTGGAATAGAGAAAACTATAGAGATAATAAAAAAGAATAGAGGTTCTGGGGGCTTGAGAGGAGGAAAGCAAGAAGACAAAGGTGGAACTGAAGAGATTTTTAGGGCAGTGGAACTATTCCGTGTGATACTGTAAGGATGGATACATGACTTCACGTATTGTTCAAAGTATTAACTGGTGAAACTGTATTTTGTACTCCATTTTTCTGGAAACCTAAACTACTACTAAATATAAAGCTTATTGCGAAAGACTGCTATTTGTGTCCCTGTCAAATTTCCATGTTAAAACTCTAAACCCCAGTGTGATGTTAGGAGGCAGACCCTCAGGTGATTAATTGCTGTGTAGACGGTTGTACCACGGTATGCAGCAAGTTTTTCACTCTTCTGCATCAGATAGAAAGGAAGCCATGTGTGCTCCAGGAGCTTCCTCCCCTTACGGTCACTTTCTGGTGACCGGCGTCTGGTTCTTCTCCCCTTTGGTTCATCTCCCCTTCCTAAAATGACGAAGGCACAAAGAGATAGTCCTTACCAATCTTCTCTCCATGTCCAGACTGCCTCTCTGTGGGCTGAGTCTGAGGGCTGATTTACATTTACTCCACTCATTCTCTTCTTTTAAGATTTCTTCCCTAAACCATAGGTCTAGGTAAAAAAAAAAAAAAAAAAAGTATGCTGATGCTCCCCTGAACAGTCATGTGTACCACAAAATGAAAGGAAAGCTGAGACAAGAAATACTGTGACACGTAAACAGTATCTCCACTCCCAGAACTTGTCACATACCATGGTACAGCTGTATACACAGCAAGTAATCTGGTTTGAAATGAGAGACAGAGGTGCAAGGAGGCATTTCAGGAGCGCCCAAGGATTTAGAATCATTCCTGAGACAACAAAGTAGGTGAAGTATGGCCCACAGGCCAAACCTGCTCACTGTATGTTTTTATTGGAACACTGTCATCACTTCCGTATCATGGCTACCTGCACACCACAGAGTTAAGACTCTATGATAGCTTATTTGGCTCACAGAGATTAGAACATTCTTCTGGTCGTAAAAAACTGGTCAACCCCTGCATTAACGGAATTTAGGATGAGCTAAGATACATAATACAAGAAAAAATACTATTAAAAGCTACCGAAAAAAACAAATGTCAAAACATAAAGAGGAGAAAATTCAAGTTCTTCATTAGTTACTTTATATGGCTTATGGAATTCCACTTTTTTTTTTTTTTTTTTTTTTTGCAGTACCAGGGATCGAACTCAGGACCTTGTGCTTGCCAGGCAGGCACTTAGGCTGCTGAGCTATATCCCTGGCCCAGGAATTTCGTTCTTTAGAAGCAACCTACACACAAAGTATGAATGCTCTTTATAATTACAGAGTGCATTAAATGCTATCAGCTTGACAACATGAAATGAAAATGAAGATTCAGATGGTAGCATTTGTGGCATGGGAAGTGGGATGAGGCAGGTGTGGCAACCAGTACCTAACTAAGGAGAGACTAGCCACAGAAGCAGAGAGGACAGACAGGGCATATCTATGACCTACTCTGAGTGGGAACTGGGGCCTGTAAGACACCCAGTATCCAACCAGGAAGGGGTTCATATTTAAAGACTCACATGAAGAAGCAGGATTTAGTGGTACAAGACATAAGAAAGTTACCTGACATAAGAAAGTTACAAGACATAAGAAAGTTTTTTTTTTGACATAAGAAAGTTTTTTTTTTTTTTTTTTTTTTTTTTGACATAAGCAGTCACAGAAGTGAAAAGTAGCTGAGGACCAGAGCCACCCTCACTGTCTGATTTTATAAATACCATTCTGATAACCACTTTTAAACATTAAGAACTAACTTATAAGAAATGTGAAAAAAAAAAAAAAAGAAAGAAAGAAATGTGAAAAATAAGCAAAGAGGGGCCGGGGAGATAGCTCAGTAGAATAAGCACTCCTGGCAAGCACAAGGGCCTGAATTCAATGCCTGGTCCCACAAAAAAAAAAAAAAAAAAAAAAAAAAAAAAAAAAAAGGAAAGAGACCCTATCCCCATTTGCTGGAGTCCTAACATGGCAGGTATCTTCTGTCTGTTCCTGTAAATCTGCCTCTTTGAGGGTGGCTGGCATGCATCGGCTTTTATGACTTATGGTTGAATGTCCTGCCAACAGACCAAACTGAAAAATGCCTAAGCGTCCATACCTTCCAACTTTCAAAGCAGCTGGTAAGCTCTCCTTTGAGTCAAGTGAGTCCTCCGAAGCAAAATGCAGTCGGGAAGCCTTCCGCTCACTCTCTCTCACCAGACGATCATCTAGGGAGAAAATAGCAGAGAGCTGTAGGAGACAGGGACGATAGGTGCTTACTCCTGAAGCATATTATGCAGGAAGCTCCTGCACCCCCAGGACTGACCTTCCATAGTGCCCCCTAACAGCATGAGGCAGGCCCAGTCCAGGGGTGCTGAGCTCCAGGGGCTGTGCTTGGTTCCCATGAGAGATCCTAAGGGCAGTACCATGAGGCTAGCCAGCCCCCTGGAAGCTCACTGCTCAGACCTGCTGCAGGGCAGGCTACTGCCTGCAGGAACAATAGCATATGTGTAAGGTGCACACAAACCCACTACATTACACATGCACACCAGGTACCAGATAAAATTCTCATCACACAACATACTGACAAGTATGCTGTCTCTGTCTGAGCTGGAGAACCCCAAACACACACAGTGAAGAAAACTGTAACAGTGGGAGTTGCCCTTAAGGTGTGCACTCTTAGGCCCACAGAGACATGAGTTCAACTGCCCCAAATGTAGGCCTGGTAGGACCTGCAAACTGGGATGGCTCCTCTCTCTCCATGCAGTGCCCCAGATATGTGACAACCCCTTTTTTGCTTTCGTAAGCCCTCCTCTCTCACCCCTAGATCTCAGTGTTTAGCTTTCCTACCTCCACCACTGGTGCAACACAGGGTGAGCACCCTCCCTGCGCTGGAGACCCAACTCTACTTCCTGAGAAGCTCCAAGTCCCTAACCCCAAGACTATCTACTTGAACCACTCAGAACATCCAAGGCCAGATGTAGCCCCCATTTTCCCAGTCTCTCCTGACTTCAGCATCCCCTGACCAGACTGTACCACCACCCTCACTTCCTCTGCACATCCCTCTAGGGGTCTCCTAGCTATCCATCAAATGAGATGGAATGCTTTTCTTAGGCACGCAGTAGTTGAACGGATCTGGGCAGATTTTTGCAATGACTTTTGACTCCAATAATATTTCTTTTGTGTCTTCATGTGCAGGAAGACTTATATTCCTTCTCTATGATAAACACTGTAACATTCTCAATCTGGTACTGTTATAACAAAGAGAAAGCAATGATTTAAAACTAACGAACTAAAGATTCCCAGTTACCCAAAGTGATTGTAATGTTTCTGAAAAGAGCCAAAACCAACTATTTATAATTGACTTGCTCAAACAGTCAAATAAAAGTCAGAACACAAGCACTTACTCTACCCAAGTGTCTTCAAAATAAGAATGGAAACTATATTTCAAACCACATAGTAGGCTTCAGGCACACAGCCCAGCACTATGATATAACAGCATTACCAAATTCCCAGGAGGCCAGTGCCACATGGTTGACTGAGATTTTCACCTGCACTGCAGGTGTCAGCCCATGGCCTCAGCACCTGCTATGTGGGCAATGGACGGTCAGTGTCTATGCAAACAGCATACCAGAGCTGGGATCACAGTGCTGCTAGGTCAGCTGATGGGAGATGCAGGCACTGAGCACACTTCAGGCCCTGCCAAACATGAATGTATTCTTAGGCTGAGGGTACTTGGTCATCACCACAGGGGCAGAAGACAGACCACCAACCCAATCAGACATGTCTGCCCATCTACTCCCCACCAATTTGAGTTGCCATGAAGAATGGAATCTACTCAGCTAGGGAGGCAGTCACAGCTTGGGCTATTATGTTAGTTCCTCAAATCACTTTCAGATGGCTGGAAAAAACAGTTCTGAGTGAGTTATAAACAGGTGAGTCTCTGTAAACAGCCAGTGTAAAATGCTGGCATTCCTGCTTTTTTTTTTTTTTTTTAATAAAAATGGGTTGAAATAACAGGTGCTACTCATACAGCCTCTCCTGGTACCTCCAGAAACATCTACAAATTGCAGAACACAGTTTAAAATGTCAAAACTCAGACACTGAAAAGATTGCTTTATGATCAAAACATCTTAAGTCCTTGCTGTGACAACACAACAGCCTAGATGGCCAGGTCCAGTCTCGGTTCAGTATCCATTTACCAGTGCACTCAGAGGCTCCCTGGCTTACAGTCCCACCTGCAGGATGGCGTTCACAGAGCAATGCCCTCCTGGACTACAGAGGTACTGTGCAAGTGTGTGTGTGCACGCGCGCAGACTTTCTCTCATAAGACTGGCTGGTGGCATGTCCCCCCTTGGTTTATCTCATAAATATAAAACCAGTGCTAACTCTCAGCCATGCCCAGCCCACGAAGGTCCACACGAGTCAGGCGTACTTAGCCAGATAACCCTGCATGTCCTCAAACCGTATCAGCCTCTCTGCTAATATACACTCAACACTGACATCTAATTCTCCATTTTCCAAAAGAACCTCATACTACCCTCAACTGCAGGATACTTCCTTATGTGAAAATTTGCTATGGGAGGGAGAAATGTTGAGCCCAAGATGATGCTTAAGAAGCACGAACAGTAAAAAGTGAAGAATCTCTGCAAGAACAGGAGAGCAGCCTGGCCCAGAACAATACAGCCTTTAATCCCCTTCCTAGACAGCTCACCTACCAGAACCAACCTGTGAAAACAAAGGGCCCAGTGCCTTCTGTCTCTGGTTAGTCAGGCCTCATAGAAAGTAGAAAATCAAATCAACTTCCCTTTCTAGAAGGAATCAAAGCTCAAACCCCACCCCACACCCAAGCTCCAGAGTGAGGGTGCCAGCACAGTGCTCCCCTGCCTACCCAGCTGCCGGAGCCTGGGGAGCATGTGCAGCACAAACAGTCGGTAGTCAGGCTCATTCTTCACAACTGGGTTTAGCCGCAAGTCCACATCCTGGAGTTTAGTTAAGGTGTGAAGCCGAAACACTTCCACTAAGGACGAGATGCAATTGTAGTAGAGGTTGAGATTTTCTAAAGAAACCAGGTACTGAATGCCCTGTAAACAGGAAGCATGCTCATCAGTCCATGCTTTAAAAATAAACAAAGCAAAATAAGCCATCTGACCGATCAACTTAGATGCACTCACAATGAACAATGCTGTTACCAGGAAAAGCTAAAAAGTGTTCTCATCTGTGTTCTCCAAAGTGAAATAACCACATACACATGTTTGAAAGCATGTCTGCTAGTCTTACAGGTACTAAGCACAGCTATAATCTCCTGAGTCTTTAGTATGCCCCACGCCAAGAGAATCAGTTTCAGTTATTCTGCATCCCCACCATTAGCATCAGAACTGTTAATGCTCCCATTTTATAGATTTGGAAACCAAAGACTAGGGGGCTGGAAGAACTAGCATTGGGTGCAGTCTAGGGTGAAGCTCAAATCTGACTGAGTAGAACTTCAAAGCTGTTTTTCAGACATGGCCTATACAGTGTCACGTTCTGGAGTTGTAATGTCCTACATTTCTGTGAAGATAAGAACCTTCCCTCTGAATCAAGCTGTAAGCAGAACTTTTATAACTTTCCCACTTGGGTCACTAGGGTGATTTCTAAATCACATTTAGACCAAATGGCCACCCATGGCCATGCTGCAACAAGTCCCAAGCCCATGGAAGGCTAGGTTAGAGCCAGAGGCTAACGTCAGACCATGCGTGGATACGCAGCACAGAAACTGAAGGTGACATGGCTGACAAGGGGATGGAGAGGTAGAGATACCCACACTTGTATCTTTGGGATCTTACTTCATTCCCTTTAAAGACAGTCAATTTTCTTCAGAGGGCTAGGACTTTGGTCTTCAAAGTAGTTTAAAGATGAAATGGGATATATAAGAAAGCTAGCTCACAGTAGACACCAGTAAACAACGGAACACTTACGCACCACTGTAAGAGCACAGTGTACAATTATATGCAGTTATAAAATACATCGCATTTACTGTAAATAAACTTTCTACTGATTGTACAGCAATAAATTTTCTTTTAAAAAATAAACCTAAAACTTACCTCTAGACTAACCAAAGAGTTGCGTGAAAGATCTAAAGACTTTAGACCTGTTAGCTGCATCAGAGAACTTCCTAGGTGAGTAATCTTCTCTTGGTATGTTCCGGGAATAGACAATGACTGAAGTTCAGCTAAGAACAGACAATTATAAGACTATAATCCCCTTAAATTGAAAATAAATACTATAACAAAAGTCCAAATTATTAGCTATAACAGGCATGAAGATTATCTGACCAAACTGTTGTCAGGCCGCTGAATCCTTTCCTAACCCATTTGTGTACTTCCTTGTAAAATCTAGTGTTATCCAAGAACCTTTTAAGCCACATTAGCAAGGACACCCGCCCTCTATATCCACTCAATACTTGCCCAAATTCCTCATTCTCCACCTCCCTGGGCCTGTCCTCAGAAGACTCCCTCTGATTCCTTGTTTCCTCTTAGTAATTTTCCATCCAATGTCTCCCCTCACCCTCCTAACTTGGCTACAAATACACCGTGCTCAGAGTTAAAGCCAATCCCTCTCCCCCACTGCAAAATCCCATTATAGCAGTCCTTGTACCTATCCAAATGGTCCACAACAGTCTCCTGTAACATTCTTTAATAAATGCTACTGAATAACGTTTTTCTAGGGGGCTTGCTGGTTAGCTCAGTTGTTTAACTGCCTGCTTATGCAAACGCAGTCAGGCGCAGGATACTGTGGTTTGATCCCCAGATCTTCATGCCTTACCAGACCTGCCCTTAAGGCATCCTGAGCCAGACCAAAAAAAAAAAAAAAAAAAAAAAATAGGGCTGGGGAGCTAGCTCAGTAGAATAAGTGCTTGACTGGCAAGGGCAGGGTCCTGAGTTCAATCCCTGACAGAAAAAAAAAAAAAAAGGAATAATGTTTTCCTTTGGTACACAAATATAAAAAAGTCAAAAGGCAAAAGGCATAAAATAAAACATGAATACCTTTAATCCATCTGGAATAACTTTTCCTTCTTATAAATTTCTGTATTTTCCATGTTTTAATCTCATAATCTGAAAGTCACTTAGCATGTTCAAGCCTAACATTGACAACTTAGTGACTCATCAAAACTGTCAAAAAATAAAAAATGGCTGGGAATATAGCTCAATGTTCTGGGTTTAATTTCCGATGATGATGATGATGATGATGATGATGATGATCCAAGCAGAAGCAGTAGTAGCAGTTTGAATATTCATATTAAAGGGGCTGATTTTAAAGATTCAGCCAATCTGACTCTAGCTAATCTCCTCCTTCAAGATGACTTCCTCTGAGCCCCATTCTTAGAGCATCCTCCTCCAGCTCCACTTTTCAATGGCCTTCACACAGGGACCATAGCCTGAGATCACTAGCCGTTATTTCTGTGGCAGACATCAAATGCTTGGCACGGTAGCTTGCCTCTCAAGGCATACTCAATACACATGCTCATTAACTAACTGCCATTACAAAGTTTCTATAATCAAAAAGACAATTTGGAGGGCCGGCCAAATAGCTCAGTGGATTAAAGTGCCTGCAAGCAGGTGCAGGGGCCCGGGGTTGGATCCCAGGGCCTGCCCTGCCAGCCTGGCCCCTGGGGCACACTGAGACAGTAATTGAGACTGGGCATGGTGGCATGAGCCTGTAAGCCCAGCCTCTGGCAGGCTATAAACAGGAGAATCACTAAGAGTTTTATCTAGTGGTGAGACCCTGAACATGCTGTAGACCCTTCCCTAAAATACAGGGGGGAAAGAAAGACAATTTGGGTCTTAATAGGCAACACTTTCCCAGGAACACTTATGTGTTAAAATAATTAAGTTTACAACAGGGTTTAAGGGCATCTAGTTCCAGATCCTCTGTACGTGTTCTTCCCAAATTAATACCAGAGGGCTGGGGAGATGGCTCAGTGGAATAAGTGCTTCCCTGGCAAGCGCAAGGGCCTGAGTTCAATACCCGGTTCCGCAAAAAAAAAAAAAAAAACAAAAACAAAAAACCAAATTAATACCAGGTACCCTGGACAGAAATGCACAAGGCCAGCACTGGACCCAGAGAGAAGGTCAGAAAGCCAACTGTCCAGGGACTGCAGCCCTCAGGAAATGACCAAGCATACGTGTGCACGTGCATGTGTCTCCTATATATCCCAAACTAAGCACCAAAAGCACTCCAGAAACACCACAGGATGTAGACCTGGCCTGTTCTTTGTGGTCAGAGGCCTAGGAGAGACCAGCAAGACAGGACAGACCCAAACATTAGCTCTACACCAGCTGTAACAGAGAACAGAAGCCACTGTCAGTAGACCTGACTTCCACTCCAGGGAAGCATATCAAGGGCTTTTGTTTCTGGAGCCTGGCTGTCAGCTTGGCAGTAAGGCCACACATGCACAGGTCCCAGCAGTGAGTGGAGATATCTGAATAGGAAGTGGGGTCTCACAGATCACAAAATGTTCACAATATAAAAAATGACCTTAAACTACAAAAAAATCTTTTGAATGAGACAACAAAAACAACAGATACCAACAATGAAATGTCAGGGAGGCCAAAATTGCTTTAACAAGGAGTTTAAAATAACTCATAAAATTACTTCAATGAGCAATTATAAATATTCCTAAAACAAATGAAAAACCAGACTCTTGGCAAGCAAACAGAAGATATAAAGAAGACTGGAGGGACTGAGGAGATAGTGGTCTAAGTGCCTGCCTAGCAAACGCAAGGACCTGGGTTCGAGCCCCAGCACAGCATGTTGTGCCGGCCCCCAAAAGGGCACACGGGCTGGTCACCAAAACCAGGTGCGGTGGCGCATGTCTGTAATCTCAGTGCTGGGGAGGCTCAGACAGGAGGATCATTAAGAGTCTGAGCTACGTGGTAAGACCCTGTACTAAATAAATAACTAAATGATTGAAAAAGACTGGAGATTACAGAGGAAAAAAAAATTCTAAGAGTGAACACAAAGGCCGACTGGAATTATCAAGTCTGGCCAATATAAAAAAAAAAGACTATAATAAGCAGAACTTCTGTGACCCATGGGAAAAAAGACCCAACATGCCTTCATAATAGTCATAGCACTCCAACTGGATCTTCAAAGAGAAAAAAGGACTGAATAACAAAAAAATAAAAATATTTAAAATTTGAAAAACCAATGGCTATAAAATTCTAAAACTTCCAAATCTAGGAGCCAAGAAGATGGCTCAGTAGAATAAGCGCTTCCCTTGCAAGTGCAAGGGTCTGAGTACAATCCCTGGTTGCACAAAATAAATAAATAAATAAATAAATAAACAAATAAATAAATAAAATTTCCAAATCTGACAAGATAAATAGATAGACAGATATCTCCAGAGAGCTTAGAAAATCTGAAAAGGGCAAACAACAAATATGTTATACCCAAACACATCAGAAACAAACTGCTAAAAATTAAAGATAAAATCCTGAAAGCAACCATGTAGACAAGGCATATTTCCCATAAGGGAAATGACTGAAGTGACAGTGGACTGCTCTCTAGAAACCATGGAGGTCTGGATAAAGTAGTACATCTTTCAAGTACTAAAAGAATTTTCTACCCCAAAATCCCCATCTCCTAAAAACAGCATTGAGGATTACAGATAAATCAAACCCTGGGGGCCTGCCCCTTAGCTCAGTTCTTTAAGTGGCTGCTTCAACAAAGCAGTCAGGCTCAGATTGCTGTGGTTCGATCCCCACAACTCAAGCCAGCCAGTCATGCCTTGAAGGCATTCGGAGCAAAAAAAAAAAAACAAAAAACCAAAACAAAACAATAAATCAAACCCTGATGAAGAAAAACTTAGAACTTGGCACCAGCAATCTACCTTAAGGTAACTGCTTGAAAAAGTTTCTCAAACACAAATGAAAAAAAAAGAAAAAGAAAAAGAAAACTTCAAACATCAGGACTCAGGAAAGAATGATAAAAGAGATGAATGTGGATAAATGTCTCTGGTTGACTTACCTAAAATGATAGGTAAATGTAAAAAAAAAATTATATAACTAATGTGGTTCTCAAAGTAGGTAAAGGGACTAATGACTATTTAAGATAGGGATGGTAAAGAAACTTTAGTGGTAGTAAGGTTCTACTTTTCACTTGGACATAGTAAGATATCTATACAAGTAAAGTGTTGTAATATAATACATATTTATACTGTAATATGCAACCACAAAGAAAACCATATGACATACTCTGAAACAGTTTAAGTCAAAATGGGATACTAAAAATATGCAAGCAAAACACAAGGCAGGAAAACAGATGGAAAGTTTTTCAAAAAACAGTAAAGTAGCATATTTAAATTCATGCACAAGGGCCAGGGATACAACTCAGTGGAATAAGCACCTGCCTGGCAAGCGTAAGGTCTTGAGTTCTATCCCTGGTACCTCTAAATAAATAAATAAATTCATGCACAGTAACAATTACAATGTTAACAGTCCAAAAATACTTCCAAGGGATGGACAAACAGTGAATAAAAATAAAGAACCAAGAAACTCATTTTAAATATGGCACAGGCAGTTAGAAGCTTAAAGTAACTAGATGGGAAAAGATTTGCTAGGCAAATGTTCATTAAAAGACATGTTGGGGGCCTGTCCCTAGCTCAGTTCTTTAAATGGCTGCTTCCACCAAGCTGTCAGCCTCAGGTGGCTCTAGTTCAATCCCCACAACTCTCCAGCCAGCCACACAAGCCCTGAGGGCATTCGGAGCAAAAAAATAAATAAAAAATAAATAAAAAATAAAAGACATGTTTAAAAAAGTCAGAACATTGTGGCAGAGTGCTTGCCTACCATCAATCTTCAATACTACCAAAAAAGGTAAAGTTGGGGCTGGCGAGATAGCTCAGCAGACTAAGTGCCTACTTAGGTAAGTGCAGGGACCAGGATTCAATCCCGGCATCATATGTCAAGCCAGCACTGCCCCCTGGGTGAGCCGAGCCGGCCACTAAATCTGAGTGGTGCACGCCTGTAATCCCAGTGCCGGGAAGGCTGAAAACAAGAGGATCACCACAAATCAGAGTCAGAGTCAGAGCCGCACAGTGAGACCCTGTACCACATAATTTAAAAAAAAAAAAAAAAAAAAAAGTTAAAAAAGAGAGAGAGAGAGAGAGAATGCTTGGCTGTTTCAGTCCATAGCTGGCTGGTTCCAAGGCAGGGTAACATGGCAGAGGGACACACCAGAGGAGAAACAGTTCATGGTGTGGCAAGCAAGAATCAGGAAACAGTCTTCCTTCTTTCATTCCCTTTTCATTCCACCCAGGTTACAAGCCTATTGACTGGTGTCACTCACATCCAAAGTAGGTCTTATTTCAGTAAATCTATTCAGTCACACCAAGAACTATGCTAATACAATTAGCAGACTAATTCAGTTACCAGAACCATAATCTAGTGTCATAAACCCACGATCCAGTCACTCTCAAAAGCCCCACAGATGAACACACAATGCTTTGAGGGAATACCTGTATACAAGCCATAACATTCTGCCTCTGGCCCCCAAAAGACACACATATTTGTTTACTCAAACGCATAAAGTCCCTCTCTAAGAGCTGCCAAAATGCTAACACTTTCAGCACTGCTGAAAAGTCCAACTTCAAATTCTTCTCTAAGATTTAGGGCAAACTCTTAGCTGCAAGCCCCTGAAAAATGAAAAGAAAGTTAAACTCTTCTAATGTATAATGGCTCAAGATAAACATTCCCATTTGAAAAGGTACAAAAGGGGAACAGAAAGGAATGGAATCAAGACATGGCCACAACCCAGTAAGGCAAATATTAAGCCCTCAGTTCTATGCCCAGCATCTGGGGGAAGATGTGAACTCCAAAGGGCTTGAATAGCCCTGCCCCATTAGTAGTTGCAGCTCTCATAGCTTCTCTCTTGGGCCAAATTTGCTCATTCCTTGCAGCTTTCCTCAGATGGTTCACATTTCTTGGTTCTCCGACTTTCTGGGGTGTCCACTGCATCTTCAGCTTCACACTCATAGCTTTACAGGGGCGCACATCCTGGCCTTCCAGGCCTTCTTTTGAAATCTGGGTGGAACCTTCCTGACCCTACAGTTCCTGCATTCTGCAGATGCCCTAAAATCAGCACCATGTGGATGACATGAGAGTTTAATGCCAGCTGGCATGGTAGCTAGGTTTCCTTTTCCCTTGGCTTACAGAGGTACAATGCCTGGATTGCTGAGCACAGTGAACCCAATCCTAAAGAACAAGTTTTCTAGGCTGTTGTCATTCTAAAACACAGTATTCTGGGGTTCTCTAAAGCAAAATCTTTAATCTTTTCAATTTTGAGGCTGAAAAGGGTAGAGTTCTGCTGGTTCTTGTTCTTGCTTATTCTTCTTCATCTTTTTTATTGACCAATTCCAAAGAACTTGGCTTTTTAATGCCAATCCTTTCAGCAACCAAGTTCTCCTCTACTCCATCTTTACAGTAGGCACCTTTACTGGAGCTTTCTTTCTGGCCAAACTAAAAAAAAAATTATTCTGCTGGGACCTTTGTTCTTCTCAAGGTAGAGCTAGCTAAAAGCTGCCGACAGTAGTCATGCCACTATATCAATATTACACGACCTTGAAATTTATTTTGCCAGATTAATTAGTTCACTGTCCTTAATCTCCTGTAATATCTATGGACATGGGCAAATTATAGACAAATTTTCTGCCAGAACATAATGCACATGTTTTGGAATCCAAATGCCAATACAGTCTTTGTTCCCAACTGATAACGTTTTGAGCCAGGTCTTTTACAGCTGCACTGTAGTTAACATTCTGGTCTTCTGAGCTCTGACCAGAATTTTCCATAAAGCTCTGTTCACAGTCCTCTTGGTTTGCTTCTCCAGCCAGCCTCTCCAAACCTTTGAAAACTCTTCTCAAAAGCCAGTTCCAAAGGCTTCTGAGCTACATGGTCAGGTAGTGTCACAGAATAAACCCTAATTCCAGTACCAACAATCTGTAACAGATTTACTTTTTTACTATCTAACTGCTGGGACAAACATCCAATATCCACAAGTTAAAGGAGGAAAGGTTTATTTTATCATACAGTTTATAGAAATTTCAGTTAATAGCTGGTTCCAAGCCAGGGTGGCATGGTAAGGGACAAGGACAAGAGAAACAGTTCTTGGTGTAGCAGGCAGGAGGCAGAAGCAGCCTGCCTTCCTTCATTCTCTTCTTATTCAGGCTAAAAGCCTATTAGTTGGTGCCACCCACGCCCAAGTTGTGGGTCTTCCCACTATATACATACCCAGAACCATGCTAAACCAATCAATAGATTAATCCGGCATCACAAACTCTTGATTCAGTATCATATACCCATGATCTAGTCTTTCCTGAAAGCCTCACCTTTGAACACACAATGCTTGAGAGTCAATCTAGACACAAGCTATAACTATGCCTCAACAAAAAAGTAACCAGGAACTAAAAGGACCGTATCATATGCTAAAGTCAGTCCAGGAAAAAGATAGGAACATCCTAAATGTGTAAGCACCAAATAACAGAGCTTCAAATCACATGAAGATAGAACTACTAGACAGAAAATCTTCCTGGTTTAACACACCACACCGTCAGCCAAGAAGATCTAACCGACATCCACACTTCACTCAGCCCGACACACATTTTCTTCAACAACACAGCTAACATGCAACCATGCAGACCAAATACTGTGACAGTCAACAAACCTTCAAAATTTAAAGCAGTTTAAATCAGAGTACTGCATATTCTACGATCATAATGGAATTATGCAATATTACAATCAGTAACAGAACGATAACAGGAAAATGACAAACACATGAAACTCTGTAAAATCACATTCCTAAACCCTCCATAGCTCAAAGAAGTTGCAAAGGAAATTTTAAAAACACATTAACTGAATGAAAACATGACATTAACACAACTTGGGGTTGCAGCTAACAGTGCTTTAGAGGGAAAGTTATAGCACTAAAATAAAGTCTCAAATCAATATTTTACATTTTGCCTCTAGCACCTAAAAATAGAGCAACATAAGTGGAAGTCAACCAAAAAAAAAAAGGACTGAAAAAGAGAAGATGGAGAAAAGCCAGCCCAAAAGCTGCTCTTCCATTAATTTCAGCCAGGCATGAGGCCACAAACCTACAATACCAGTGCTCTGGGAGGTTTAGAGAATCCCAGCCTGTACAATTTTGGGATTTAGTGAGACGATCTCAAAATCTCAAAATAAAGAATTAAGGAGCTAGGATACAACTCTACATGAAGGCCTGGGGTGCAATTCCACAGTGTTGAAAAAAAAAAATCAACATTCATAAATTTCTAGCAAGACTAAAAAAGAGGACAAATTATCAATGCCATGGACAAAAGGGCTATGGATACAGCCTCCAGTCATTATAGGCCAATAAGTTCATGTTATAAACAACTCTACATTTGACAGTTTCATAAAAGGAACCAATTTCGCAAAAAGCCCTGGTGATACTGACAATATTAACTGTTCTAAAACCACCAGAGAAACAGAAAAGCCCACTGCCATAGTTTTGCTAAAAAATTCCATGAAACCTTCAAAGAAGTAGCACGTGTTCTACAGAAACTCTTCTCTAAGACAAGATCATGATGCCAAAAACAGCCCCAAAAGAAAACTGCCCATCACTGCGCTTCACGACTAGACACGAAAATCCTCAGCCAAACGGAAGCAAGCTGAGTCCTGAAGACGTGGAAGATGCTCAGCCAGGAGAGAGCCCGGCACACTGGAGGGAGGTCGCGCCCAGCAGAGCGGAGGGGGAGCCGGACAGGGCTCCGGACCGAGCGCAGGGCTCCTTTCGCTGCATACCAACTTCCCTCGTAAAGGGTTAACAGAATTTTGTGCCTTAACTGTGGGAAATTATTTTTAAAAAACCCTTGTGCTTCCTGTTACCTACTCTAAGAAATACATTTTCTCTCTTGGCTCAAGGCTGTTCAACAATGTTTCTTGTCAAGGCAACAAGCTAAAACAAACTCCCTCCCTAACCATCTCCTATAACATGGTCAGCTTAAGATATATCTTATAAAAATACGCACTTATCACTAAGCTATACAAGACCCTTTAGTTACATTTTGCAGCTGTGTCAAATAAATGTAGTTTTCTGTTGTTCCCTGCTAGATAACAAATTCGCTTACCAAAGGGGACGTGGTTTCTGTTATAAATACCCCCCTGCTGCCTATGCTCGGGTGCCAACCAGTCTCCTGCGTGAGAAACGGCTGATCCACTCGAGCTCAGTACATAAAAGGCTCCACTCAGATTTTTATCTGGCTGATGTGGTTCCTGTGCAGTGACCCATAACACCCTCAGGCCCTGCCCCCCCCCCGTGCTCCCCTCCCCCACTAGCTACCCCCCGTGTTCCCCTCCCCCTCCCGGGTTCCCCTCCCCCACTAGCTACCCCCCGTGTTCCCCTCCCCCTCCCGGGTTCCCCTCCCCCACTAGCTACCCCCCCGTGCTCCCCTCCCCCTCCCGGGTTCCCCTCCCCCACTAGCTACCCCCCCGTGCTCCCCTCCCCCTCCCGGGTTCCCCTCCCCCACTAGCTACCCACCCCCCGCCCCCCAGCGCTGGTCTGCGACCCTGGAGCGACAACAAACTGACGGCGTGGGCACTCTAGCGTTTCAGTGGGGCCGGGGGCGCCGCGCAGACAACCAGCGCTGCCGCCTTGGAAAAGCCCAGTCCCGACCCGGCTCTCCCGACTGTCTAGCGGCGCACCCAGGTCGCGTTGGGGCCCCAGGCCGCTGCGCTTCCGAACCGTCTCCTCAGACAGAACCAACCACGAGACTGGCGCCATCTTTCAAATCTGTCTCAGAGCGCTGCGCCTGCGCAGGTGGTGGTGGTGGTGGTAGGGGGGGTGCCAGACCACGGGAGGCGGGCTCCCAGGTGGGCGGGGCAAGGGAGTGGGCGGGGCCACGGGGGCACAGGTGGGGCTGCGTGATAGGCCGGGTCGTTGGGCGCTCGGCTGCGCTGGCAGGGGAGCTGAAAGGGCATGGAGACCCGAGCTGCCACCTGCTCCTACAGGGCAGAAGACCTCATTTGGCCTGGACCCGTCTTGTGCCCCACTGCATCTGGGGCGTCGGAGATGCCCCCTGCCTGTTCCTTCTCTTGGGATCCGGATGGCTCAGGCGGGAGATGTGCGTGAGGGTTAAGAGCAGAGACGCTTGGGACACCCCCTCCCCATGCTGGATACATGAGCTTTGGACTTCCTGGCCAGGGCTGGCTCTGGGGCCTGAATGTGGGCAGCAGGAGGTGGTCACCGCCGTTTCTTCCTACCCGGAAGCTTCTACGGGGGAGCAGTGAGTGTTTTTGCTCATCCAAGGAAAGATGCCCTGAGGTGTCCCTGGGACTCCTAAGTTAGACTTGGGAGCTGTCTTCTGTTAATCTCTCTCTCTCTCTCTCTCTCTCTCTCTCTCTCTCTCTCTTTCTCTCTCTCTGCCTCTCTCTTTCTGTCTGTCTCTCTGTCTCTGTCTCTCTGTCTCTCTCTGTCTCTGTGTCTCTATCTGTCTGTCTGTCTCTCTCTGTCTTTCTCTGTCTCTCTCTGTCTCTCTGTCTCTGTGTCTCTGTCTCTCTCTGTCTCTCTCTGTCTCTCTCTGTCTCTCTCTCTCTCTCTCTCTCTCTCTCTCTCTCTCTTGTTGCTGGGACAAAATACCCATCACCCAAAGTTAAAGAAAGAAGGCTTTCTTTCTTTTCTTTTTTTTTTTTTCAGAA